TTCCCATTTTAATTAATTACTTACAATTTTAATTAATTATTGCCACATTTAATTAATTATTTAATGGTTTATTTAATTAATTCATTATGGCAGTCCTGGTGTTCCATAGCTCCAACGTCCTGATGGTAAAAGCATGGCTAACACCAGAGTGCTCAAAAAGACCCCACATTAGGATCTACAACTAAAAGCTGGCTTACATCAACCTATCTGATGTGTAACTTGGAGATAGCCCTAGACATGCTTTAAAAAAAAAGTTTAAAACAAACAGTTAACTTACTGCTTTGTAGCCAACGATTCGGATGGAGAGAGAGCTGCCTATGGTCAGCTGACAGGGCCAGGCCACGGGTCGCCTCTCCACCCGCTTGAACATGCACAGCTCCTCGATCGCATTCCTACAAGATTAAAACACATGGAAGGAGATAAACTTGATCATAAATTAAAAACACTTCCACTGTTTGCCTGAGTTCAAGTCCAGTGAAATAAATCACAGATTCTATCCTGGTTCTCAAAGATAAACAACACTCTGAAAATCTAAGGAAGGAATGTTCCTTTTCCCAACATTAGAAACAGAGCAGACATTGGTGACTCAATACTGAAAGTATTTCGCGATGCTTGGTACCAAAAATGATTCAATTAAGGGCGCCATCTCTAGAATGTATTTTTTTTAAAAGACTTCCACTACATGATACATTGCAGGAAAATGGGAATGAGAGGGCAATTTTTTAAGTATTGGGCAAGAACTGGCTGAATGTTTGTAAATGATCACATACGGCAAGAACAAAAATGTTTAATTTGATATTTCTCGCACTGAAACTGAAAGCGCTTTTCGCAGGTGGAGATACTAAATGTTGAAGGTAATGTTGTTTTTCCACTTTATTTTTAGAAAAATGTTAATTTTTGGAGAGGTTTCCAAAAATCTTGATAACTGCTTTTAAAAAAAGCATTCACAAGACTTTGGTTACTTCCTGCACCCCCTTCACAGAGATCCTCTTAATTGATACAGTATGATAACATTTTCTCTCCATCTTATAGATGCAATTTTTTCTACTTTCCCCTCCCTTACAGTCTGATTAGCAAGCTCCTCATTACTCTGTGTGCACACTCACCTGGCAAAAACAAGTAATCTAAGACACCAAAAATCAAGTTCATCCTAATTTACAAAGAACATTAATCCATTCCAGAGAACAAAAGTGTAACAGGAAGTCCACTAACCTGAAGGTGTGAATTTCATCCAGGCCGTCCTCCACATCCAGGCTCAGCATCATCTCTTTCACCAATTCCTTGTTTTTCTTCTGCTCCCTGGACAGACCTTTGCCTGTCCCCTGGTGACCGGGATCTCTTCTCTCTGAATCCCCTTGACCCTCCTTATCCTCTTCCACAGGGAAAGGCAAACTGGACATCCAAAGATTACAGTTACATCAAGAAAAAAACTAAAAGATTGATAAAAGTAACCAAATATCATGAAATCTGCTTCAATCAGCTTTACAATTCAGTTTGATAAGCCTCTCCTGCACTCTGCATTTTTACCAGTTATCATCAAAATATTGATTATCACATAGAAATATTAATATTTTCACCATCTTAAGTATCATATAAAGTAATAAAACATTGTGAATGTTTATGTTTGAACCTTACAAGAACTGCACAGTGATGCCAGACTGAGTGAGGTTCTTGATGATAACCTCCAGGCTTTCTTCGTTGGTCTGGGTGTTGAGGTCAGTCAGCAGGGCAATGTTGAGACAATCATACTTTTTCCCCCTTAGAAAGGTACCATTAAAAGTGTACTGAATACAGGTTTTATTTTTCAGTGAAGTGCATGAATTATTTATGAAATACAAGAGAGTTTCTTACTTTGTTTCAGTATGAAGAAGATCCATGCAAACTACAAGGGCATCCAGCCCTGTTACAGAGCAGTTAAGGAGGCTCAGAGAAAATGTAAGCACTTTATCAATTTGCACAAAAATCTTATCCCACAGACTTCAATAAAGGGTCAGTCTTCATCTCACTAGTGCCATATATATTAGTGTTCATAAAAAACACTAAAAGAAAAATAAAGACAGGATCCAAGTTCTAATCAAAGTTATCCATGTTCCCATTGAATAAAAAAAAAAGGAGGAGGACTGGATAACTGTAAAATCATGTACAGTACTGTGCAATACTCCTTCATTTCTTTATATTTTCATTCCAGGCAGCCAGACTTTATTGTATTTTTTAAGACTGGGCTTGGGTTATAGTTCTCCAGGATTTCTGAAGGTCTGTCACAGATTTTATTTGGACATGTTAAGAAGAATCTTATTTGGGGGGGATTGTTTGTATGGCTACTTAACACTGACCTGTGAAACATTCAAACATGGATAAAGGCCCACATTCTAAGAAGCGCTTTGATAGTCCTTCAAGAAGCCTGGAGAACAATTCCTGAAAGAAATTACAAGAAAGCTGCCCATAAGAGTTAAAGCTGTGATAAAGCATAAAGGTGGTCATACCAAATATTGACTTTCAAGCTTCAAATTTTCGATAAATCTCGGCACTTATTTTAAATCAAATCAAATCACTTTTATTGTCACATCACATGTGGAGGTACACTGGTACAGTACATGCGAGTGAAATTCTTGTGTGCAAGCTTCAATACCATAAGAACAAGCAAAATATAAGAATGGCTAAATCTGAGAGTTTTTTTTTAAAGGAAAATATAATGAAATGATGGGCAATTCAAGACTTTTAGTACAGTGCTCTGCCTGCAGAGTTAGGTTTCTACATGGTATTAATGAAACGTGTTCGGGAGAAAGGATACAGTCACCCTGCTGACTCTCTGGTTGGACCTGATTTTCAATCTCTATCAGTAGTTCACAATCAGGGATCATAAGGTGTCGATGTACTCTGATGTTCTGGTACTGGCCATCCTGGCTCAGAGGGTTGTCTGTGGAGTCTGTGCCAAACAGGACCAAAGCCAGCTCAATCTTCGTCTCTGAAAAAACCTGACAGAGGAGGGGGAAAGCATGTTGGGAGGGTGCTAAAATCAGCCTCATTAGGGTGCTTTGTTTTATAAATGTGCAGTTGTACCTGGCGCTGGACAAACTTCTGGATGACTTTTTTGGCAAGTTCAAAGGAAGACTCTTCCCCGGGTGCAGAGTTGGACATGGTAAGCCCCACATCCATGCACAGCACCACAGCTGTCTGCAGAGGACATACTTATTTAATTTACGACACTTAGAGGTGCCAAAAACACAAAATTACTTCTCAAATGCTGTGTTAAGGTCGTGCTTTCTCATGCAGATAAGATAAAAACGAGTATGCGAGCCTTGTATGCACTGAATGAGGAGCGTGACCATTTCAGGCTGGACATGTCTCAACACGCCGCTGACGCTAAACGTCTCAAAAGTTCAAAGAAACATAAAAACAAAATGTTCCTAACGAATAAAAGCTGCACATTTAATATCGTGAATAGTATCTAACAAGCATGTATATGTCCGTGACTTATCTCTTTAACAATTAAAGATAAAACAACTTACTTTTGAGCCTGCCATTTTTTCTTCTTTTCCCTCCACCAAAGCAAAGACTGTGTCACTTTGTTATGGATCCGGAAAGAAACAATGAACTAGGAACCGAAACTAAGTTTCTATTTACGATGAGACTTCTTCCGTAGACCTTATGAATTTATTATTGATTGTTGTTCACCTTAAATTACAATGTTATGTCAAGACCACTTTTGTGGTAGTAAGACTGAAGAGGCGGTCCGATAAAAGCTAAAATGAAATGTAGGTCAAACGCTCTCCGGCTAACCGCGCGCCTACAATATGCAAACATTTCCGAGCTGTGGTCAAGATTTCAGAAATACTTAATTCATACAAATAATAATTCTAACTAATCACTGAAAATACAAAATAATATAACAACATAAGTATTAAAATAAAATTATTATTATTTTAAAATACAAAATCTGCGCAAATTTTAACCTTGTCATCCCTAAATTGATTGTTTTGTGTTTTATTTACTAACGTTACTTAGATTTTTCATTTGCAATTATAATAGTTTTTGTGAAATAATAAGCCTGACTTCCCTACATCAAGATATTGAAATCAAACCCTCCTTTTAATGTTCCCTCAAACCAGCCCTGTATGCTCAGAAAGGTTATTAAATACATAATTTTATTATCTTCGATCATCCAGGAGCTATGTTCAGCCATGACTCACAGGTTTGTGCCTTTAGACTTAAATCGCTAAACATGGAGATGTGTCTTTTTAATATATGCATTAACACAGAGCTTGTGTATTTTAACAGCCCAACTAGAACCTAAATAAACTTAGTCCATAAATGTAACAAATCAGACATTTAAAAAGTGGCCACAGCAGAACAAATTAGCAAATGTTAATCTGACTGTATTTCTCATGAACTTATTGTATTTGGAATGGTTGCTGCATAAGGATTTTAGATTTTGTTCAGTGAGTATTGCAGGATAACACTGGGGTGCCAATAATCTCAATTTAAAGCCCCCCTCGCCCCCAGAGAGCCATCTGCATTGCTGTGCACCATGCAGGGTTTACATGCTGACTCTTGTCTTTGTCTGCTGATTAGAGTGACTCGCTGGTTTTAATGATACAGAAATATTAGTCTGTAGTTGAGATGTAATAACACAACACTTTATTTCACTTGTGTAAATGTTTGCATCATATAGATTCACAACATGTAAAACTGCATCACTTAACCCAGCCAGTCATATCCATAAACATTTGAGTCAACAAACATTTAGACCATCTGGATGTTTTAATCCAGTCTTGCTTGAATTTCAATCAGTTTTTTTTTGATAGCTGTTTACAGTACATATATCTCAAAGTGCTGAAGTATAAAAACACCTAGCTAGAACATCTTCTAGGCTTAAATATAGAAAGCAAATTGAAGTAATATGTAAAATATGTGAGCATGGAAATGTAACAGGAATTCTTCAACTTCAGCTTTTTTGTGTGTGTGCGATTTAAAACTGTGAAGACAACACAAACACTTGTTTTAATGCTGTTCAACGTATGAAAACATGAACAAAAAAAGAACAATCTGTCAGCTTGTTCTCACTATGGCTTTGTAACTGCTTAATTAACCCTCAATAAGAAAAGAGGTATTGGTCTCCTTTCCTTTCAATCTCCATGCATTGTTTAGATACCTTGACTATGTACAGAGTCCAGAAACCAACAAAAACTCACAGGCCTGAATTCTTCTTACCCCAGAGTGTGATGTAAGGATCATATCATGACTTTTAATTTTTAAAAATCCCTTGCAAATAAATAATCAGCAGTGGATTAAGCTAAAGAGACTCCTTGGAGGTCTTCAGTGCTATGAGATAATTATTGTTCAGTTATACACATAAAAATAAAACTTTTAGTTGTCTTTTACTGGAATTGTTGTCACCAACAAAAACATCACTTAGCCAACATTTTCCTTCATCCAAATGTGTATTAACCTACAACAAAAAAATCCCAAAGAAATGTACGGAAAATGGCTCATCTAAAGTCCAGGCTTTTAAAGAAAATAAATGCATGTCTTTTAAACACTAAACAACATACACTATTAAAGGACGAAGTACTGGACCACCTACACCTACAGTAGCCGCTCAGCCATGAAAACCCATGCCACAAAGCTCCAGACACACAGTTTTTGTGCTTCTGTATTGAAGCCAGGGGAGGTCTGGACCTCTGCAATATGCGCTTCAGCACTTGGTGACCCATATGTGACCTGGCTGTGGCAGTGGTTCCTAAAAGCTTTCATTTTGCATTGATACTTACAGTTGATTGTGGAATATCTAGGAGGGCCGAAATTTCACAAATTGTCCTCTTGCAATGATGGCTTCCTATTATATCACCACACCTCAAATTCAGCAAGCTCTTTACAACAACTCATTCACAATTATTTGTGAAGGCAGATTGCATTGCTAGGTGCTGGAATTCAAAGACTCAAGTGGTATGACCCAATACTTTTGCCCATACGGTGTATATGTTGCTCAAAACAAAAGATTCATGCATTCTGTAGTGACTGATGGCTGTGGGGTTGCATGCTATAGGCAGAGGAGGAAAAGTCCAATTTTATGACAATGAATCTGTTTTTTATGGTCACGCTGCCCCTTAAAAGGACAGATTTTCACACTGGTGCTCTTTGGTGTATATTTCCACTAAAATCAGCAACTCACACAAAGTAAACCCACACCACTGCCAGGGGACGGTCACCCCCTTTGCCCATTTTTTTATGCCAGCCTCACTCTAAATCCACCTTCAAAGTGATTATGATTACTTCACAAAGACAACAGTGTTGCCTTTGAAGGTATTTTTGATGGCATTGAACAGCACAGTGATCATATATACTTAATGCAGATATTTACAGATGAAGTGAAAGTTGATGTAAACTCTCAGGAGTGTGTGCATATCAGTGTCCACGCCTTAGCTGTGAAAACCAAGGTTCATATGTTTGAAAAGGTCTTTGAGTGGGAGTGCTGTTCCATAATTATTGGTGGCTATTTAGTGATCTGTGAAGGCTGTAATAAACCTGTAATCAAAAAGAAAAGTCCCATAATAATTACTCCAGTGCTTCAACTCCAATAATGCTAGGTGATAGCAGTTCAGCACCAAAGGAGAGTTCAGGCAGTGCTTACTGTGTGATTATTAACAAAAGAGACATTTTGAAATAGTTTTAGAAAAGAAATTCTAATCAAAAGATAATTTTCTTACTCCTGTGGCTTTCAGGAAAGTCTCAAACCCTTCATTAGCAAAAACATAGATAGTAGTGGTGCTCATTTTGACACTCAAATTATTCAAATAATTCCCAACTTTGACCACATTAGCAATATGCTCCTTGAGCCCAGTGCCCACTACTTCACACTGATGACGTTTGGGCAAGTTCACTGGGTGCCTTGCTCTGTAGAGTGCCAGAAACAGTGTCAGAGTCAAGCAACTCCACTATGCTGTATGGCGAACAGTCTTCAAGCCCCAATTTCCCACAGGCCCAGCCACAGAAGCCTTTCTCCAGGTCGCGCACCGCCTGCCACCACTCACTGAAGGCCCAGGACACCTGCACCACAGCAGAGTACAGAGCCAGTGACAGCGCCAAAGGCATGATGAGCATGGGGTAGAAGATGATAAGAAAGGGGCATATTGTTATCTTGTGCCAGAACGTCCGCTCCTCATTGTACACCAGGAAGACATTGTACCAGGTGAGGGTGCCGTAGTAGAAGGAAGTGATGAACGAGAGGATGAAAACCACAGGTGCGCACGAGATGCTCCACAGGACCACATGGGGTCCCTGACACGCACCTAAGCTACAGGTGCGCTTGGAGCCTTCGCTCGCTTCGCATGCTGCATCAAGACGCTCCCTCGACTTGGCGAGTTCCCTGATTTCCTTCTCTGTCAAAGTGACGTGTATGTCCACCACCTGACCCTTCTTCTTTCCACGCGTAATAGTGCCAGTCAGGGTCACGTAGCGGCTGTCTGGAGGAAGACTCCAGCCTGTTCATACAGGATATGACATGGAAGTTAAGCAAGCGACACACAGGCAAGCCCAAACGTAACTGTAAAAAAGCCTGTGTAGTGTGTAAAAACATAATAACAGAACACAATCATTTGCAAATCTCATTAACCCACATTTTGAATCTGGAGCAATAAACTGAAAATTCAAATTCTTTTTGGAAAACATGGGCACTGAATGCTCCGGACTACAGAGGAGAGAGATCATCTGTCTCAAAATCAGCGTGCAGTTCAAAAGCATCTCTGATGGGGTTCTATTAATGCTTGTGGAATTGGCAGTTGGCACATCTGGAAAGGCTCCAGCAATGCTGAAAGATAGACACGGGTTTTACAGCAACATTTTAGCAAAGGCATCACATATCTCAGTGAGACAACACTAAAGAGTTGCATCCATTACAGCAGGCTTCATAGTAGAAGCAAGGATTGTTGTTGAAAGAAAAGAAGATGCTACAGTACACAGTGGTAAACATGGCCCTGTCCCAACTTTTTTCAGATGTGCTGCTGCCATCAAATTCAAAATCACTTTATTTTTTCTGGGTATGTTTTCTGTGTTGTATTGTGAATAAAATATGGGTTTATGAGATTTTCAAATCCCTGTATTTTGTTCTTATCTATACTTTATACAGCATCCCAGCTTTTTTGGAATAATGGTTGCTGTAACACTGAAGTCTATTTTGTGCACAAATCCTGTCCTACAGTACTAACATCTGACATGTTGGGTTCATGAGTTTAACAGTGTGAGACAGCTTTTTCACCTTCGCCTGTGGGTGTGCAGAGGAATTTAGTTCCCTCCTCAGTGCTCCTCTCTGCTCCTTCGTCTCCTCCTTGGTCCTCTCCTGGTGCCCTCTCCATTTCAGACCGATAAACAATGAAGGACTCAGGACGTGGATCTTTCTTCTTCTTCCTCTTCCTCCTCATGGAGGGTCCTACTTCCCCATCATCCGCATGGCTCCCTGACACGTCAGACCTTAAGGAGACCATCTGGGGGCTGCCTTCCCCCTCAGTCTGAGGCTCCTCTACCTGTGCCATGTTCTCTCATTCATCCAATCCAACTCTTACTCTGAGGCTACTGTTTGGATGTGTTATGTGTGGAAATGAATAGTGAAATTCTAAGCAGCATACAAATCTCCAACCATTGCATTAAGCCTTTACTCTGATGACTAGCTGATTGCAAAGTCATAAAAACATACACACTAGCACACACAGACACACACACAGAGAGCGTCATTAGGAAAAACATGTTTTTAAGCTCAGTGTGTAAGCCTGTGCCCACTGATCCTGGCCCAGATTCTGCACAGTAGCCTATTTTTGCTTTATGTGCTGATGTCAAATGTCATATTATCATTGATTTCATGGCATCTCATGGTATGGCATGAACAGGAAACAAATAGGATATCACAAACAAAGCATGACACAATTGTTCAAAGGGGGGGAGGGGGTCTCTTTGCATGACAGCGCAGCAATATAGGCTGAAGCTCAGGCTAATATAATCACGTCCAGACACATGATAGGGGGGGAAAAATAAGGAATTTAAAGAAGGAAATGTACAGTTGGTCCAAAACAATGCATGTTTTTCAGAAGAGGGGGTGAAAGCGACAATGAAGCCCTTCATACAGCTGATCCCCTCCCATTTAAATCCCACCCATGTCCGCTCTTTTGTCTGCAGCCAGTGAATGTGCTCTAACCACAACATTTCCACTGCGGCTTCATCTTACCTTCAATCTGCTGGACGAGCTCCGTGTAGATTAACTTGCACCGTGTGAGAATAAATTACTGAATCTGCCTGACACACAGGAGCAGAGCCCGCAAATTTCAGCGCTGTGTTTGTGTCCATACAGATGCGCTACGTAAAGCGATTTCCAGAATAGCACTAGTCCCGCCCCTCCAACCTCTGCCGCACACCAATCCCCACCATCCGTGATCCTCACGGCTGTCATGTGAACAAGGAAAAAATGATGATGTGGGAAAACCATCGTAGTCTAATATAATTATATTATATTAGACTATGATGTTTTTCCCACATTTTTCCTACAGTCTAATGAATCCAGTCCTTTTTGGCCTTTTAAAATATCATTAAAGAAGTATTATGTTATTCTTGTTGCAATTTCCAATTGGCCAGATCACTCTTTTTTTTTTAACGCAATTTTAATATCAGTAAGACTTTTGAGTGGTATAAGTGAAGGATATAAGTCACTTAAGTCGCTAAAAACTGATTGCAGCATTACTTTGGGACAGGAGTGCTATTTGTGGAAAATCCTAAACTTATTAAAATATGAGCAAATAAATGGAAATTGAGTATATAAGGTCAAAAATATAAAAAAAAAAGAAGCTCAAAATAGCTTTTTGTGGCTAGTAGACAATAGTAAACAACACACTGATTAAATATATGAAATGAGTAGGCTGTAATAGCGATGAATTCCTACTGTTTTTACAGAAAATCATTTATCATTTAAAATTTTCATACAATACCAACATAAAATTATTATTAATAATAACATATTAAAATTACATAAAATGAATTTAAATAAATGAATTAGGAATTTTAAGTTTTTCTTAATAAAAACGTTCAATAATATGGTAGCCTTTAAAAAAAGTCAGTAGAAATAATATGAATTTTGATTCCTTTACTTCTAATTGAACTAATTAAAAATAACATTAAAACAATGTCATTTCCTGAAGAAGTCTCAGTTCCTAGCCTTTAGCTTTAGCATCAATAGCTCTAAAGAACGGGATCAGTTGATGTGATAATATTAGCCTCAAAGTATAAAAATGAATGACCAGGATTCATTTGATAATATTGACCAGCTCCTCTTTCACCTCGGTAAATTCACTTATTCAGTTTATTACAGTTTATTACATCAGTTATGTTATCTTGGATTAGCATTAGCTTATTAGCTGTATGGCTAAATGTCAGTCACAAGCCAGGAAGCTAGCTAGACAACATGACAATTTAAACAATATTAAAAAGGTTTTAGAGGTTTATTTATACTATTGTTGTTTTTGTTATTATTATGAAAGATAAGTGTTATTTGTACTTTTTTATAGCTCTTCAAACTCGGGAGCTATCTCAAAAGAAGAATGAAAATAACCAACAGATTAAAGGTATGTGTTGATGCTAATGTTGGTGTAAAACAGTGGCTTAAGAAAGGTAATGATAAACTGGGCTAAAGACAGGCCTTTGTGTCTTTTGTTATTAGATATTAAACACCATTAAGCTTTTTTTTTTTTGTCAGTTTAAGTCACAGAGCCCCTCTTGGCCACCTTGATGTGTCCTCCCTGTTTCTGTCTGCATGTTATATTGGGTCTATATTTTGTTGTACAACACCAAAATGTTTGTAGTTTCTCCTCTGTACTACACAAAATTAAGTAATCAATACATCATTAAAGCTAAAACTCTGTACTTTAATCACATTTTGATTGTTTTATTTAAAATTCACAAGTGGTAAGGTGAAGGACCAAAATCAACAAAACTGTATCTTTGTCCAACAACTGTATACTTAATGTCTCAGTAGTTGTTAGTCACTTGTCCTTTTGCTGACTTCTCGCATTACGTTGAAGGGTGGTTTTCTCATATGTAGGTGTGTTTTTATTTCCTGCTTTTGTTCTCTTCCCTCATTTCTAACTGTCTGTCATTAGATTTCCTTATTTGATCACTTTCTCCTGTACTCAATCTACTCCTTTGTGTATATGTATAGACTTGCCACGTCAATTATCACCTTGTCTGTTTGTCTACCTTTTGTTTCACAAGCCCATTTCTATTTAGTTTTTCTTGTTTTGTTTATGTTTTTTTCTCTGTTTCTGTTTTTTGGATCAATGACTAAAGGTTTTTTTTTGTTATGCTTGCCTGTGGGTCCAGTCTCTAGCATTTTATGATACTAAGTGGCAGTATCCTCTTTTTAATATCTGGTCACCTTGTCTTGAGTCATTTAAAAACATTGCTCATTCATTCCCTTGTATAAGGTCCATTTAGCCCACTATTGTTTAAAGATCCCTGCTTTAGTACTGATTGATCAGGCTATCCATTGAGTACACTTCCAACCACCTGACTAGCCTTAAGGGATTAGATTTTAAAGTGATAGTGTCCTTTTGAATTTCCTTATCAGCTATTAACAGAAGCACAATGTTGGGGAATCCTGTATCATGAACTTTATCTTTTAATATAAGATTATTGTGTGCTGTGTTAATGTGTTTGGCAACAGTTTCCAGAGCCAACATTGCTGAGAAGAAGTCTTACATTGAAGCAATCAACAGAAATATTGAGCAACTTGAAGAGGAAATCAGTGTGAAACAGAGCACTGTAACACGTAATAAAGCAAATGCAAAAAGGTACAGCATTTTGTAAAATTAAACAGGAAATAAATGTGCCAAACCATGATAGATTACGGCGCAGGAAGATTGTGCAAAAGTGTTGAGCCATCTCTCATTTCTTTATATTTCGCTCCAAGGAGCCAGACTTTCTTGTGATTTTTACAGTGGTCTTGAGTATTATTTCTCCAGGCTTTCTGGAGGTCTTTTAAAGTTTTTCTTTGGACATTTGGATGCTTTTTCACTCATTTTCAATCTAGTCCTTGTTCATGACCAATGTTTTTTTTGTTGTTGTTGTTTGTATCTTTATTAACACTGCCACTTAACACTGACCTGTGAATCATTCAAGCATAAAAATGCATCTAAATCAAGGAATGAACCAGTATTTTGTCTGCACATAACAGATAACGTAGCAAGGAAGTCATTTTAAACTGTATTTTTAGGCACTTTGTAATTAGCACCCTGCCCTAAAAACATATAATTTACTCCCATTTCTTGAGTTGATTCTACAAAAAAATGCCAAAGATAACTCAGTTTGATAGAAATGAAATAGCATTTTGCACCAACAATGATTCCCAAAGAGCTTAGCTGAAAACTTGGTATATCGCAGGATGGTTCTTAAAAAGAAATAATAGAAAATAGGACAAGTGGAGGATAGAAGAAGTGATGGAAACATTAAAAAGCTAAAGATGAACAGGATCTCAAAGTCCTATCCTTGAGAAATAGAGAAAAAAAAAGTCCAGTAAAGACTTGACACAGGACCTGAGAGATAGATCTCTACTGTTCACTGAAACCAAACAAAATTTGTCTCACTGGAAGGATGATTGTCAAGAAGCCATTCCTAAGAAGTGGTATGCCAGGCTGAGGTATGCCAAATTACACGGGACTGGACTGAAAATCGGGGAACAAGGTCTTATGTAGTGATCAATCCCATTAGTTTAAATTGTCGTCAGTATGTACAGAGGAGGTCAGTCAAGTGTCTACAGCCAGCTATAACACATGGTTAAGGCTGGATGATGGTTTGAGGCTCCATTTCAGCCTGTGTTGTTGTCAAAACTGGTGAAGTAATGAACAAAGGACACTCCCATCAAATTTTGATCCATCGTGCACTATCCCCTAGAAACCCTGTGATTGGGAACAGCTTCATTTTTTGTTAGTTCTTTTGTAAGTTCTAAAAAAGTCTTTTACTTAATTAATATGTAGCAAGTGACAGAGTAAAAGTAAATAACCTACAGAGTACCTGCTTGTCTTTTATATAAATTTAGGATGAAGGCGACTAACGGCCTGCTTCTTCAATATGAGCAGACGTTGAAAGCAGAACTGGAGAAAAGAAAAGCCAACTACAACCATGACACGTGGGTTCATTTAGCAGCCTTGTTTGTGATTAATACTTTTGTGTGTTGGAAACAGACATGTTAAATGTTCTTTATTTATACCTAAACAGGGAGGTCTTTCAAGAAAGGATTGCAAGCTACAGAAAGATTTTCCAGGAGCATAAAGAATATTATTTACAAAACCCTCTTGCTGAAAAGCTCCTCGTGCTGAAGGCTGAAAAAGAGGAAATTGAATGTAGGATCAAAGCTTGGGATGAACAAATAACAATGAAGCAGAAGGAGCTGGACCATCTTATTGGTGATAAACCTTTCGTATCTTTGAGCTTTGCTCTGTTAGAGCTGAAAATTTTTACAGCTTGGTATACAGTCCCTTAAATTTTTGTCCGAACAGGTCCAGTAGTTACTTCATTTTCCACCGAGAAACTGCCAGATAGGTATTTTAGTGAATCACTCACAAAGAATAATCACATAGCTTACAGGAATGGTCATTTCTGACTGACCGAGCCCATTTTTTGTTTCTAGTGCTTTTGGCTTGCAGCCTGTAACAGAACAAGAGAATGGATTTGATCATCAGACAGCCAGGGACAGAGAGCCTTCCATTGACATCTCCTCTCTGCATCTCAATCAGACAACGGTACAGATTTAGTATTTTATTAAATGCATCTAAACACTGGCAAGCAATCATGAAAGGCAGTTAAAGCTGTTCCAGTTATAACTTCACACTTTGATAAATCTGAGCATTTGTTACAGAGTGGTCATAAAACATCTGATGAAGAGGTAAATGCTGAAGAGATCCATGAGGAAAACATCCAGGATTTACCCACCTGTAGTACTTCCCCAGAGGAAGGAAGTAAGGAGCTGTGGTCCAGTCAACAGTTTTGTGGTGAGTCATATACTGAAGGGTGTATTTGGGGTCACTCACATTAAAAGGGGACATTATTTGACTCTTCTTACTCATAATATAGATTGATTGATTGCTGTCTATTTCAGTGTATGTCTTTGGATGATAAAGAAATATGTAAAGTAAAGATAGAAAGGACTAAAGATAGGAAAAGGGCAATCACAAGCTTTCTTTTTTAAACCAGAGACAAAATCTCACTATTCACCATTGAGAAATTTTATTTTTTTAAAAACAACAAATGACATATTCTGTAAATAAAACCATCCTGTTTTATAATTACAGGGAAGTCTGTGCAATTACCTACACATTTTTACAAATGTATTTTTTAAAATTGAATCCCAAACAGTCATCCTCATCATCTAGCAAGATTAAGATGACCTTGGTAACTTATGTGATACTGAAAGCTGAAGCTCGACATAACCTGTTAATCTGGCTTTGTGGTGCGCCTCTCTGGTGCCACGAGTTTAGTTTGAATGATCATGTTAATCAAACCACGTGAACAGAATATTTGCTTCTTCAGACCAGAATCAGCCAGAGGACATGCACATTGAGGAGCAGGAAGAGGAGACTTCACAAGAACACCAGGTTTTCTGATCTTTAGTTTACTATACTTGCAATTTCTGCTAATACACCTGAACCAGTTAATCAAACAAATTTGCCAAATGTGTTGAATGTATAACTTTTTCTTTTTTCTTGTTATTTCTTCTTGCTGTCCTAGTTTACCTTGCTGTCTCCACAGCAGTGTGTGTTATAAATAGGTAGTTGCGGCTTCTAGTAAAGGCATTCCACAGTTTTGTATGCCTTTACTAGAAGCCGCACTGCTTATCATATAGAAACCCAGCACAGGATTAGAAATTACCACTGTTTGTCAGAAACCTACTTGAAAAGCTGGGGTTGTAGGGGTTACGAGGTAACCTAGCAACAGACCGAAATGTGCTGTTTTGTGGGAAATGTAGTCCAGACCTGCAAAGTATGATTTTGACATTTTTATCAATGAAATACAATTTTTAAGACTTTTAATAATCTATTCTACTGTATCAGAGAAGTTTAGAAGCTGTGTATGTTTCTAGGAAAATATCAAGTTGCTCGAGGCACTCCACAGAACAGTATTGCCACAATGGAAAACCCACTTTTACAAGTATCCATCCGAACTGTTGGAAATGCTTTGACCCCCTCGACAGGAGAAGCTGCCCACAGTTTTCTATGCAGAGGAGATTTTTGAGGGTGATATGGAGAAGGGAGCAGCTACACATGAAGAGCAGCCACCACACGACAAGGACGATGAGGAACTCGCTACTTCTTCTCAGCCTCCATCTCAGGAGACTGATCCTCAGTCAAAAATTACAATTGCGTCTTCAACCCCGACATTCTCATTTAAGTAAGACTTTGGATGAGTGGTCTGATGCTTTGAATTACACTCACTCAAGTCCTGACAACTGGTTTTCGTGTGTTCGCTGTAGCTTTAGCCCAGCCAGCTCCAAAGATCAAGGGAGCTCTGAGACCAAATCTCCAGCTTTCTTGTTCTCTCTGAACTCTGATCCCAACACACCAGGCTTTCCTGGATTTGGATTTGATGTGGGCTCATCACAGGAGGAGGTGAGGAATAAATGATCTCACAGAAATCACTGTGTAGGTTTTTAGGCATACAGCTCATGGTGTCTTACATGCTTGAGTTTAGGGAAACTGGACGTCTTTTTTGGCTCATGACGATGTTTTATTTCCCATCCAAGAGGCTGCGTTAGTTCTAAAATCTTAAACTTTCTACTTAAAATGCAGTCTTGAGATAACTTTACTGGTGTTTTCACTTTTATTGTCACATCACATGTGCCGGTACACTGGTACAGCACAAGCAACAGTGGTAACTAAAATAAACCTAAAAAAAAAAAAAATTAAAACTAACGTAAACAATTTTGTGAACTTGGAAAATAAAATAAAACAAGATTTTAAAAAAAACAGGAATAAATAAGGAAAATAATGAAATATCCTTAGTTTTTGGTATCTGTTACTTTGGTAAAAATGTTACTATAGCTTTCCTGATGGGGCATTGTTGGATGTGTTTTCCTAAATATTGCTTCTAACATATGGCCTCCTTATACAATAATAATTAAAAAGACTAAAACTAGCATCGAGTCTAATAAAAAGTAAATTACAACCATACAGTAAAAACTATACTGAAACAAAACTCTGGAAAATAACTGAACCTAAACTTAACTAAAAACAAATAGTCAAAATGAAAAAACAATGAAAACTGATTATAAAGTACAAAACTATTATTAACTCTGGTTTCAACCGCCACTCACAGTGTGACCCGTGTGGGAGGGCCAGTGTTTTGCAGAGAATTCACACCATTGCTTCTGTGACCTTTAACAGCCCTCATGACAGGATGGGCCAGCAACTCTCAGGACCAACTCCGGGAGGCTAAATATGTCAGATTCCTCTTGGATAAGGCTTGAAACTTTCTCATGAACCAAAAAATCCCCCAAAATGTCCAGTTGCCTTCAACAAACAATTAAGACAGAAAACAGTATTTTCCTGCTTTTGGAATTACCTCCAGGTTTCTTTGCAGGACTTTTTCGGTTTCACTGGATCTTTGTTCACTGAGAAGGTAATGTTTTTTTCACTGAAAGCCTACTCTACTTCATGTCGTCTCGGTTTTGGAACAAACATACTAAACTATGATTAACCATTTCTAGAAAACCGCTGAATCTAAATCTTCAAGCAGTAAGTATCAAACCACAATGTGTTTGTGTGGTGTGTCGTTTTGGACCACTGATGTGTGCTGTATATGATTTCGCAGGCCCTCAATTCCTGTTTGACCAACCAGAGACATGCGAGGACTTCCAGTTTGCTTTTGCCACCAAGAGCCCTCAATCAGCTAAAAAAGAAAATAGTGGAAATGATTTTCCATTTTCATTCAATTTCTAAGAGCTGTAAAAGTGTTTTCAAGTTAATTTCTTCCATCTTATGTTGTGACATTAGCGGGAGCTGAAATAGCAACACATTTTTTGCTCTGTTGAGCAGTCATTATTAATTTGCAGGTTTAACCTAAAGTGAAAATTCAAACAACAATTAACTGATTTCTAATAGAGTTCAATAGAATTTTATTTAAGACAGATATAGAGACAATAATACACACGTAAGTTCATATTCCTTTACAGATTTCATTGTTCATGTGAAATAGTTTTTTGTTTGTTTGTTTACAGGTGTGTGTTCATATTTTGTTGTTTGCTGTTCGGTTTAAAAGGCAGAAGCAGTTTTCAGTCGAACAGTATTAAAAAAAACAAACGAAGACACTTAACTGGCCATTTCAGGTCACATTCAGACATTTCATGTGTTAAATAAGATTATATAAGAGTATCTCAATAAACATTTAGTAGCTCTTATTTATAGCTAATAAAATATTAATAAAACTCTGTAATAAAACTGTTAAAAAGATTCCTTTATCATATGATTTCTGGCTCATTCACTCATGATTTTGGAGAGAAAGCATTTATAACACCTTGCATACAGTCTTGTTTCATGGCACAGTCAGTAGTTAATCTATAAAATGTTTTGTTCAGTGGCACTTATGACTGTCTGTTGAGCAGTGGTTTAAATATACAAAGCCTCCCTTGGATTTTGGCACAATAAGAAAACATTTGTGCTGAATTCCTTGTCAAAAAAATACTGGTACACAGGTGAGATCAGTGCTGGCATTTAGAAAGTATATTCATGGTCATTCAAGTTTAAGAGATGGGCATGGAGTAAAGGTCCCGCCACCTATTGTGCCCATACAGTATGCCCCCTAAGCACAAACAAAAAAGTCTGGGCACAAATTGGATCATGACCAGAACTTCTCTGAGCAAATAAAAGCAACTTTAGTGCATGAAGGAGCACACAAAACCTCTGAATCCATCAGGTTAACCGATATGTCAGAGGGCAGAGCAAGGGAGTTCTGCATTTTGATGGAAAGCATTGAAATATCTTTACGTGAAAACAAGAAGTCAGGCAGTCAAATTGAAAGCCCAAGCTTGTAAAGAAAGGTTACATATGATATGTGATGATGAATGATGGATGAAAGCTAAAAGGTGCAAAGCATGCTGCCATTTTACAGAGAGCTTAGAATCCACTGTCAATGCTGATGGAGCGTTGAGTCACATGTTCAATCTCTCCTGGGACATATTCGTTGAAGCTGGTTTGGTACTTGGCCAACATCTTTAGCATGGGCCGCAGTTTTAACCACCACTCTACCTTGGGCATCCGGTGCCTTGGAGATTAAAAGGATAATAATTAATAAACAAGACAATGTGTTTTCCAAAAGCAGCATATTTTAGATTTTTTTGTATTACTTACTCAAAATCTGTTATTTCCTTCAGTTCAGTGACAGGGGTGAATGAGACAACCTTCCTGTTAAGGCCGATGACACATGCTGTTTCTGGTGAGTTGGCAAACACTCGGCCTGGTGGAAAAAGATTCAGTCAATACACCTGATGTTTGACTCAGGATTGCTTCATGTTCTATCAATGCCATCCACGACTTGCAGTAAACCTACCTTGTCGGTAGTTTTCAGTCAGTTTCTCTGAAAGCCACTCGATAGCTTTCACGCCCAGCTTCGTGCCAAAATTTCTATCAAAGGGAGAAGGTGCCCCGCCCTACAGCCCAAACCGAGAACAAAATTATCACATCAAAATGCCAATTGCAGTTGAGGTCAGACATTTAAATATACTCATTACAGGCATGAATGTCATGTTGATTTGGGGCTTTTAATGATCTCTTTCAACTGTTGTTTTTCCAGGAATGACGAATTGTGTGCACACGTTTGAATTTATTTTTGGATTTTCTCTCCACACAAGGTCAAAACTGTACACACAGGTTCAAATATATATGTGCAAAAGGTTCTAAAATGGCTTTAGCTTGGCGAGGTCAAGGACTATTAGCTTCTCGTCAATGATCATGATTGACTACAGTGGTAGTTTCTCTGCTAGAATAAAAAGGTTTTTGTTTGACAGCAGTCATTGGATTGACCATTACTCAGCACAATGGGAAGGTCCAAGGAACTTAGTGACGATCTAAGAAGTATTGTCACTTGGAGCCATTTCTGACCAACCACAGATTCCAAGATCGTCAGTTCAAGCTATATGGTCTGCAAGAAGATCCAAACTGTCAACCTCAGATGAGAGGAAATTGGTTAGGATTTGCAGGAACCACCAAGGCTCAAGCCTGCTATGAAGTGGAAACTGCTGGAACACCAGCATCATTGTCTACAGTGATTCAAATTTTACAACACTATGAACTATAAGGATACGGGCCAAGAAAGAAGCCCTTTCTCCAAAACTGACACCTTCAAACTTGACATGGACAAGTCAAAAGCCTTCTGGATAAAAGACTTATGGTCAGATGAGACAAAGATTGACCTTTTTGGCCACAATGAAAAGGTAAATTTGGAGGAGTAAAAGTCAGACTTTTGAACCTAAGAACACTAACAGCATCATGCTTTGGGGCTGTTTTGCTGCCAGTGGTACTGGTACATTGCAAAAAGTGAATGGAGTAATAAAGGACGAGGACTACCTCCAAATTCTTCAACTTCATCTCAGTTCAACAGCTAAATAGTTGAAATTTGGAGACAAACATGAGGACAGCGTAAACCAGAAATAAAATGATAATATTCAAGGATGTTTTCATCAGCTTTTTTTAACTGCAGTTGGGTGTTAATTTAAAGCGTAGTAAAGTTGATTTAGCAAGACATCGAAACTCATTCAACCTTAAGACATTCCCGAGACCACTGTCTAGCATGTTGATTTTAAAAAAAAATCCAAAATTAATTCAAACACATGCACCTAATTGTTGTTGTTGTTTTTTTTTAAGTTGTTAAAGATGCTGTACAATCAATAAAAACAGAACAGCTCAAAGAAATCATTAAAAGCACAAAACAATCATTCCCATGACGAGTCTATGTAGGCTTTTGACTACAACTCAAAGTTGGAAAACTGATCCATACCTGCTGGAGGTGTCCTAACACGTTGACTCTGCAGTCAAAGATGTCCTTCCCTTCTGATGAATACAGCTTATGGATGAAATCTGTAGTGTAGTTTTCATGGCATTTTTCATTCCTGTCATGACAGAGAACATGATTAACAAAGGAGTGCCACAGTGTTATTGGATGCAGGCTCAGCTAGACAATTATAAAAACTGATGTGGCACTTATACAACAATTATCCATAATTTTCTGCTGCTTCTCCGGTATCTGGTTGCATGGGCAGGAAACTAATTTCCACAATTTGAATCTATCTATAAATACATCAATTCATCAATTTGTGTGCTTCACATGGAACATAGAGTGAAATAATGAAGTCAAAATACATAATACATCTTCTATTCTATGAGTAAATAGCTGCAAACTAAAACTTAGCTGTACTGTTCTACCTGAAGACAGTCCTGTGAGCGCTGCCTAACATGTCAATTTTAAATCTCCCATTGTTCATTTGGGCTCAGATTGGGTGACTGTCAAATCGCTGCATGAGTTCCTCAATTTTTAGACTCATCAAACTATTCAGTGACCTCTTGTGCAATCACTGTAGGAAAAAGGATACATGCAATACAGCTTTTTCCTTTAATTTGTCACTTGTTTAAATTTAGTTCACTCTATAAAATGTTACGTACCTCAGGATTAGACCTCGTTGGACATCTTTCTTCATCTTTTCAGATAAGTGCTCCACATTTGTCTGCAAACAGTTCACATTATTAGAGGAAACAGTGCTGTGAACATCACAAAAATGACTTTAGACATTATCTTTTTCTTCTACCTTAAGGTCAAGGATGTTAAAGGGATCTTCAAAAATGTAGGCTGCATCAGCACCCACTGCTATGCCAGTAGCGGATGCCAGATATCCACAGTACCCACCCATGGTCTCCACCACAAACACTCGTCTCTTGGTCCCACTGGCAGACTGCTTGATCTTGTCACAACTCTGCAGAAGAATTTGATTCTTTGGTTGTAATATGATATTTTAAGATATTTTCCGTTTGGCACCATTCTCTTGAAACTCTAGAGACGGTTTTGTTGGGAAATCCAATTACATCAGCTGCTTCTGAAATACTCAGCCTGTCTGGCACCATCAACCATGCCAACCATGCTCTTTTCCCCCCATCCTCATGTCTACATGCCTGTTGAATTGCTGCCATGTAATTGGCGGATAAGATATTTGCATTAATGAACCAGTGAGCAGGAGTACCTAGCAATGTAACCTGTGAGTGTCCGCTATTAATATAGGTTTAGAGTGATAAACTGTACCGCACCGTTTCATTTTCCATGTCTTCAAAGCTGGAAGATAACATCTCAAACACTAAATGTTTCTATTTGGTTTATACACAAAATTATAATAAAAATGAACAAAAATTAAATAAACTCAAGTCTTTTAAACAGCTTAAAGGTCAAAGCATTTGTGATTTCAAACGTAACACTGCAAAGAACAACATTCGTACAGAAAGCCATACAAAAATATATTTCTGCTGAGCCCTACCTCCATTGCACAATTGACGGCAGTGTCTGTACCCACACTGAAGAAAGTTCCCGGGACGTTGTTGCTAATGGTAGCAGGGATAACGACCATGGGGATGCAGAGCTCATCGTAGTGAGTCCGGGCCTCGTAGAGCTCAAGCACACCTTGGTACCCCTTTGAAAGTCAAAGGCATACAGGTCAATATTAACACGGTAACTTATGGCTCGAATAATTTAGATTTGACACTTTTGTGCTTGTTATACCTCAAACCCTCCTATTACAAGCAGAGCTGAGATTTCGAACTTGGTGATGGTTTCCACAATCTTCTCCAGGTGAGAGTTGGGAAGAGTCCTTAAGAAGGAAATTAAACAAAACTTGTCATCAGCGTATGGCAAAATCTCGTAACACCTAAGCCACTGCTGTGTTAGGTTAAGCCTTTAAGATCAGGTAAAGTGATTCATATCAGTGAAACACTCACCGTTTTGTCCCCAGCAGTGAGCTTCCTTGGCCCGTCCATCCAGCCACACTGTGCCATTCCATCTCAAACACCTGCAGACAGACAGGTTGAAGAACACTTTCCTTTCAGTCTCACACAGGTTACTGTGGAACTGCTAAAATCTCCTTCAGTGTTAAAAAACAAACAAACAAAACAAAACAAAACAAAAAATTACAGCCTCACCGCTCCATCGGCAAGTCCCAGAAAGCCGTCATTGACCCCGTAGACTTTGTGTCCATGAGAGAGCCCTGACCTCACCGCCGACCTCACTGCAGAATTCATTCCTGCCGCCGGAGCTCCCACGTTCAGAATAGCAAAAGAGAAGTTGCTCTGAGGAAGCATAAGTCAGACATAAAAGAGAACACCAAGATTAAATCCTGGGATCATTTCACATCATTTATGGCTTAAACTGTCTACAAGTCCTCCAGACCTACCTTAGACTGAGGAGGCTTGTGGAAAGCGAGACTCTTGTAGATGTTCCAGTTGCTCTCAAAACTCCTAAAAGTACATCGTTAGTTTAGTTTTTTTAATTTGCAATGAAAACAATAAGGTGCCATAAATCAGAACTCTCACCCTCCACGCAGTTTAATGGCTTCATCAAACCTCTTCTCATTCATGGCCGTCTGCACCAACTTAGTCTGCAAAGGGTGGTGCAGTAAAACCAGAGCTCAGCATCTCACTTCTGACCTGTTCTGTTCATTACAAATAAATTACACGAGGACAGGAGAGAGACTCACCATCTCCACACACTCCACCAGAGGGAGGCGGACCGCTTGGTTGCCCGACAGGCCGATGACACAGGCGGGGGTTTCAGGAGAAGCCTCCAAGAGGGCGACGACCGCTTCCACACCCAATATGCTGCTCTGGAAACACGTGTTTGGATATGTGCGCAATTAAGACAGCACTGACATTGAATACTGGGAATTAACCTCATACTAATTTGAATTTTTTATTTTTTTTTTTAAATCTACTCAGGCAGCCTTTGTTAGTATGCATCAATAGATTATTTTATTATCGGTATCAGGTCATCTTGTTGTGTATTATGCCACATACAGAAACACATCCTGTGCTAGTTTTCTTCGTGTAATCAGTTTGTGTTAAGTCTGATTGTGGCCACTTGTTAGTAGTGCAGGTTCATTGTGTTAAATAGTGTTTAATAGGGCTGTTCGATATAACGATATACATCAGATGACGATTTAAAAATGTCTATCGTTTCATTTTACACTATCGTTTGTTTCGTGGTGTCGCAAAATAAACTGTTTACGGCAATATTTTTTCATCGTTTTGATGGTCACTGTAGTGGCTATATTAATTTCTTAAAGTTCTCTATTTCTCTTATATTTAATATAACCACATTACAGACAGACAAGCGCCTGTTTTTATGGGTTATGGTTAGCAACAACGACGGTAACACCTTCGCGTGTCCGCTTGTTTATGTTCCACATAAACCTTTCACAATAAAGCTCAAGATCCTGTTGACTTTTCAAAATAAACTGAATCACGTGAAAGAGCAGATTATTTACGGATGAGAAGTAAAAAAGAGCCGCCAGGTGCTAAAAAATTGACCTTAGAGACTCAAACGTTAGAACAGGCTTTTCCCCGCAGCACGCCGTGTAATAAATACTCACAAAGAAAACGGCGCCGTTACAACTTATGTCTAAAAATGTATAGTTTCATGCATCGGTTAAAACACTCGACTCCAGCTACATGACGCGCAGCTGGAAACACTTCACGCAAGTCGAGCTGCTCGAGATTCACAGAATTTACAGAAAATGTTACATTTTTGCGATTTATATCGTTATCGGACGATAGAATTCTTATATAAGGATAAGAGATTTTGGTCATATCACACAGTCCTAGTGTTTAATTATCATTTTAATGGTCAGCCAAAAGGAACAATCAGGAATATTGACAGAATAGCTTTGAGACGCAGTTATTTTTATTAATGTCCCTGAACTTATTACTTCAACAATATTTACAAGTTTTATATGAATATGAAATCTGTTGTTCAGCTTACCAGCATTCTGTCAAACGCTGAGGGAATTCCTCCTCGCTGAACGTGGCCAAGTACTGTCACTCTGGTGTCATAACCCAGTCTCTCCTGCACCAGCTTAAAAACAAACACATGGAAGAATTTCAGTGTTTTATGCATTTGAAAAAGCTCTCAGCAACAGCTGTCGCCAAGAAAAACTACAGCCGACCTTTGCAGGAGTGAAATAAACAATCTATAAATCAGTATCTGATATATTCAGATTGTAGTGCTGCATTAATGTGCGTTGTCTGACTTACATCTTTTATATAATTTGAGGAGATGGGCTTGCCATTTATGTCAATGGCTCCTTCTGCGACGATTATGATGTTCAGTCTCGACCCCCCGCTTGTGCGGCTCTAGAAGGAAACGGGTAAAACATGTTATTGTGTCATTAAGCACAAACCTGTGTCCAAGTTCTTTAAAGTCAGAACAACTACAGTCAAAGGAGGACTGTTATTTCCATCTGGAGTAATTTATCTGGTGAAACGGCTCTGTTTGGGAACTTTTAAAAAATGAAAACCATAAATCAGGGAGAGCTTCCTGTACTAATCAATGTACACAAAAAAAGCTGGAGGTGGCAACAGGAGAGGCAAGACCCTCATTGGACAGAGCCGACTTGGTTTGCACAGTGCCTTGCAGATGCACAGATGCTTGTATGACATTAGCAAACTGTCCTGCTTTCATGGCATGCCTAAACTGACACTATGCCCAATTCGTCTACTTCGACACAGGCCAAACCTGTCATGTGGATACACACAGTGAATGTAAATCAGTATATGCATGGGGCTAACATACAGTCTGGACTTGTGTCTTACCCCCTTTAGACGGGCACACATATTGTCCTCCCAGCCCTCCTGAGGTGGAGCCTCTGGAATAAAAACCCAGTCTGCCCCTGATGCCAGAGCTGACACTAAAGCCAAATACCTAAAGTTGTAACAAAGAATAAAAGGACAGTTAATGCATAACAAGAGCTGCATGCAGCTGCAGTGCATATGGGATAGCAAAATGGGTTAAAGTGCAACTCTCACCCGCAGTGCCGTCCCATCACTTCCAAAACAAATGCACGCTGGTGGCTGTAGGAAGTACAAAACAGTTACAGTGAGACTCTTTTCCACAAAGTATGTCAGCAAACACACAAAGAACATGCTGGTGTCTGAGAAGGCAAGTCTGGGCAAGATGGAAGTCATGCCAAAAGCCTTGAATGGTGCAAAAGACCACATTCCATTAAGAGTTAATCATTCACTGTTCAGGTATATTCAGATAACTCTGATAGGGCTGAGATTAAGTAATGCTTAATCATCAGCATTACTCCATGTCTGTTCAAGTAACTGAATACAACTACTAAAAAAACCCCAACACACACACATGAAAAGCTGGAACCACAAAATGTTTGGCATTACTTAATCGCCGACTAATCTTTTCTCGATCGACGTGCAGTATGTTTACTACCATAAATCTGCTGCTTTGAAGCAGCACTGCAGCACATGTGGTGTGCTCGACACATCTTCCTTTCTGTAACTCATTTACTAATTACTCACTTATCCAGTGACCTTGTGCATGCTGCTTTTATGAAACACCAGGTGCTTCAGTGCTGTTCCGAATTACCCAGCGGCTCACCTCTGTGCAGTGGTCATTATGGCGTCAATTATCTCCATGATGCGGTGCAGCGCAGAGTCGGCACCGATGGTCATGTCGGTGCCGCAGAAGTCGTTGTCTATGGAGCCGACGAGGCCCACGATGTTCAAGTTATAATGCTGCTTAGCCATAGTGTCTGTGATCCTTCCTGAAGTAACACACACACACACACAAGTGTTGAAATTAAATAAACTCCAAACACGTTTCTGAGACTTCAACAAAAAATGACTCCACTTCTTGTTTCTGATATGCACTCTGAGTAGTTTGATCTTCTTGAGCGACACTCACCTTTCTTTACGAGTTCATCGAGTAGATCGCTCCACTCATTGCGGAAGATGTTGGCTCCGGTAAGGCTGCCGTCGCCGCCACACACGCACAGGTTGGTGATGCCTTTCTTTACCAGGTTGAAGGCAGCGGAAACTCTGCCCTCACGCGTCATGAAGGCCTTGCAGCGGGCACTGCCTATCACGGTCCCACCCTGCAGCAGAGATGTAAAACTAGTCAAAAACCAAACTAAGGCAGACAGAATATTTTAATCAGGCATTTTGTAGATCAGTGAGATTCATAAAGCAATGGTTCGCATTTTTGGTGGATACAAAATTCAAACAGCTAGTTGTGAAATAATTTGATTTTTCTCCAATTGTTTTGGTTTTGACCTCTCAAAATGCATAAACATAAACCTGAGGAGGAGGACTCACAACAATAGAAGGGTGGGAACCACAGGTACACACAGATTAGACTTACCTGCAAACGGGATACTCTGGCAGATAATCTGGTGGTAAGCTACAATTACTACCTCACACTGAAAGACTCTGCTAACCAGGCAAGCTGCAGTTTGCATCCATGTCTGTTGGGACTCATAACATAAATGTAGTGAGATGTTTTGAAGGAATTTAATAAAAGTTATTCAGCATATTTATGTTTGGCCAATAAAAATTGCATCAGAGAGCAAACAACGCTTCAGATCTGGATGTGACAACTTCTAAAACATGGATGCTTCATCAGCACTTTCAACCCAGCAGCACAGGAGATCTACTATACTGGGCTCGAACACATTTTATCTACAGCCACTACAGTTTCAAGGTGGGCACCCAACCAAAACACAGTTCACGTATGTGAAATATGGTCACATATTTGGCACTGGATAAAGGCTGTAAAAATAAGGGAACCTTTGGCTATTTGGATAATGAATGTCAACACTTTATCCTTTTGTTTTAAGATATTTGTATTAAATTTGTCATAATAAATGTCTGAATTATGGCAACAAATGTCCCGGTGACCTTTGATCACCAAATTCCAATCCGTTCATCCTTGAATCCAAATTATTATTTGTGCCAATCTTGAAAAAAATTAATCAGATGCTTAGACTGTTCCTCCCCTATGCAAGGCCACCTGGGTTGGCTGGAAGACTGTTTACTTAGCCTGACACTCTGAATAGTGCAGCCTGCGTCTGATTAGGCTAAAAGCGCATGCAGCAAAGCTCCTTACCAGGTTACAACCAGTAATAGGAAGAGAAGAGACGAGAAGACATGGATGAAATAATAACAATAAAACTATAAAAAAAAAAGAGAGAAATAGAGAAAATTTTAAGCTCAGAAAAACAACAACAAAAATTCAAATTCTTTTCAGACATAAGCCACATGAATTTTTAAGGAGATCCTTAAGGGTCTTAGAGAGAGCAAAAATAGGAAACTGACAATTAATTCCTAAATTAGGTCCTCCATAAATTTAACGAGTAAAATCCATGATGGCTGAATTTAATTAGCTGCTTAAGTGTCCATGTCCTGTATGGTGGCTCAGTGTCACACTGCCCATGCTTGATATGAAAATGTCCACTCCTGAAGTGTTTTGTAGCAAAATAACTTTTACTCTGTGCTGAATATCGTCTCTTATAACAGCTACCTTTAACCACAGTAATATTTTAACCTACCAGCTGAATAATGTCGGTCACACTGTGCCAGTGGGCCAGTTTGATGTTGTCTCCCCCATCCACCAAGCCCTGGTAACCCTGAGGAAAAGAAATTATTATGGAGGGCAGTCAAGCAATAATGAAAAAAAGAACAATCTCAGAGTGTTTATAAGCTGTATTTATATGTAAAAGATGGCCAGAGTCAAAATAACACAGCGTACTACAAGTACTTTCAACTCCTCTCTTATCTACAGGGGTTTGCCACACAGATTTTAGATGCCCTTCATTAAGTGCCACTGCACAGCATGTTTACTCATTCTCCTCCTGCTCCATATCTTTAGACAGTGTCCCACATTTTGACTGATTTTGCAAGACACACAGTTTTCAAAAGTCTGGCTTTATACCCACTGCATATAAATGATTAAAATCAAATAAAGGTTAGCCTGTCTAGCCCGTCAGTAAAAGTTACAAGTTACCAAAAAGTCACTAGCATTGCAGAGTTTGGTGAATACGGTAGAAAAACACCACAAAGAAAATAAAAAGCCAATATATACTCAAAATTGTCTCCTTATTGCAAGTTATTTTTTTGCACTGTATTTTATGTGACATAAATCACTAAAAATTGCTCAAATAGTCTGATATGGCTCATAAAAGGTATTCCAATCTACAAATGAAGACTGTTACCAGACAGAACAGCAGCTGAAATAACAGTAAAATAAGAATATAGGAGCATGTAAAAACTATCACATGACACCATACGAACAAACTCTAACTTGCTTTTATTCCTTTTGTATTTATTTACCAAGAGAGTTTGAAAAGTTGCATTCAAACACATGTCCACTTTGTCCAGTCTGGTCACCCAGTTTGAGCCTCACACTACTTTTGCATTTGGTACTAGATTGGATAAGCCGGGGCTGATGGTCTTTTTTTCTGGGACAGCTGCCTGTTGAGTTGCCAGGCAACAGGAAAACTGCCCTACTCAGTTCTTTATTGTTCAATAAATTAGTATTCTAGTTTTGTCTACCAAAAAAACCCCAACTAAAAACAAAATGTACTCACAATAAGAAGCAATAAACTGATAATTTACTTAAATACAGCAGGTTTTTCTACCTGAGAAACCGCATACATTAGCGTTAAATAATAACGCTGAATCAAGGTAAAACAAATACAGCATTCATGTTTTGAAAGTGACTGTAAAGTGATGGGTAAAACTTCTTTAGGAGTTATTTTATAGGAGTTTTCGTCTGACGAGTTGCCCCCTGCTGGCCATTACAAAGAACATTTCATCTGTCCCACTTGGGGACTCTATCTTTATTGTCCCATTTTTTAATGCAAAGAGGCTTACATACAAAGCTTGTTTACCTCATGAATGAGATAGACCTTGGCCCCCACATAAATGCCCATCCTGGTCACAGCTCGGATGGCAGCATTCATCCCTAAATCAAGGATAAAAAGTGTTAGATCTTCCTCTTCTTGGGTCTTTGCACACAGGCTGTTGCATCACAGCTCTGCATGGGGTAATCAAACGGTAAGGTGGGTATGACTTCATTATCGGTTATCTTCTCTGACCGCAGCAATAGACGATGGGAGGCTTTGATTAGTCAGAAACAGATACACTGTGTGAGTTCAAAGGGGAGGCAGAAGGGTCTAGCCTTTTAGCAGCACTAACACTGAAGTGTTTTACACCCCTGAAAATGCTTATAAATGGTACTGTGAAGGCATAAAGCATGGGCATACAACTACATCTTAAAGTACTGCTATTATTCCACAATAGTGCATTATGTTGGATTGGCTTAGAATTACTGATGTACGAATGCAAACATCAGATTATTGCTGCAGCAGGTAAAGTAAACAAGTATTACTATAAACTCGTAGTTACTGTGTGACCTTTGATCCCTAATCATCCAGCTGCTATTCCGAGCTGACTACCAGCTGCTGTCACCTCAGCCCTCGACCTAGCCACATTTTCCCACCACACAAACACGGGTTTACATCCACACATATACGTTCGAGTTGTGAGGTCACCTTGTGCATCTCCACCGCTGGTCAGCACTGCCATGGCCCGACCAGCGCACGTCATCTTCAGCTTCTCTAAGTCCATCAAAGACATTTTTAATCTCTTCTCCTCGCAGCTACAAAAAAAAAAAGGAGAGAATTTGAAAAAATAAAACCCGTCGGCTGGGAGAGTAAAATTAGCTCTTAGTGTCTTGATCCTAGGGAATCTAGCTGCCTCTTCCTCGTTTGCAAGTTTCTCCTCAGCAGATCGTAACTTCCAGCGGTGACACCCACAGTATACAGCTGAGGGGGATGTTTGCTCTTTTCACCCGCTCCGCCCGGAGCTGCGGTTTTCTCCACTCGCTCGTCTTCGAGAATCTCCGCCTTCTCTCTGAGCCCCGAGGCTGGAACCGAAGGAAGTCCAACCAGCACGTACACCACGGGCAGGTATTCATACCGGAAGAAGGCGCAATCAGTGGAATAATACAGCAGCAGAACAGAGCATGTAAAACCTCAGGTCTGAAGATGTTAATGAAGTAATTTTGAGAGCCTGCCTGTCAACAGGAAGGAGAAGAGCTGGTTTAAAAGCCAACACAGTAATATTTTATAGTAAAAAATAAAAGTATACAAACTTCTGGGTATAATAAAGTATACAGTGTAGCCTCCACAGGACTACAGTAACGTGCAAATGTCTCGAGCATCCTCTCATTCGTCTGTATTCCAAGCTTTGTCATTCTTAAAATTTTTCTTCAGACATTTACTGCTTTTTCACCCCATCCCCTCCCCTTTTTTAACCTGCCACTAAACACTGATCTATGACCCATCCAACTTATCAAAGAACCATTTTTTAAATTAAAGAGCATGACAAATAACATTATTTGATCCAATTTATTTAGTTTAATTTATGGAAAATGCTAATGATAGCAGAGTTTGACAGACCTAAAGTGTTTTTGTACCATAGAGGTCACTTCCAGAGAAGTTTTAGCTGAAAACTTGGCATATCTATGCAAGCTGTCCAGTGTGTTGTGAAAAAATGTGGGGAAACGGGACAAGTAGAGGACAAAAAAGGAAGTTCAAGCTTTAAAAAACATTTAAAAGAAATACTATATAAAGTAGATAAACCGGATCTGAAAGTTATGTCCTTAAGAAAGCTGGTCCTTCAGCTGACCCATCTACTGCTCACTGGAGCCTCAATAGAAATGGTCTCAGTAGAAGGGTGGTTGTCAACAAATCATTCTTAAGGTGGGGAAATGTTGAATTACGCCAAAAAAATACTCAAAAACTGGACTGAAATTAGTGACAAGAAGTCTGATGGAGTGAAGAAGCTGAAACTTTTGGTTCAAATTACTGTCAATATGTACAAAGGAGGTCAGGAGAGCTCTTCAACAGCAAGTGCCTATAGCAGTCTGTTGTTTGGAGCCGTATTTCAGCCAGTATGTTGCATCTTGCCAAAAGTGATGGAATTATGAACACAGAAAAACACCACCAGATTTTAACCTACCATGAAATAACAGCCAGAAGATTTCTTATCCAATGGTTGGAAAAAGAAAAAAAAAAAAAATCATACCTGGATTGGAAAACTCACAATGGAACATCATCACTCATGAACTCAGCCTGGCTTTTATTTTACTTCATTACTATTCCTGAATGTGGTCATACCAAAACACTGAATTGTATATGCTCTGTTTTTGTCTTGTATAATTTATATATTCAGTGAACATTTGCACATTTCAATAAATAAAGAAATGAGGAGTGGCTTAATACTTTCACACAGGAATATACACGCATTTCTGTCTCTCAAGATCTATCTCATAAATGAGATCTAGATAGATATTTATGGAACATTTATGTGTTACCAACAAATAGCTGAATTCTTTTTTGTAACAAAACAGGAAAACAGGTAGATCTTTGAAGGAACGATTGCACCCGTTTTCAATTTTCTTCAGAAAATATGCGGCGTGGCTTTTGCACACACACAGCAAAAAATAAATAGAGGACAATAAAAGAAGCACTAAAGAGTCGGGGACAAACAGAAGAGCCAGACCACAGAGGTTTGGGTACAGTACAGCATTTATTCCATGCAGTTGTTTGCGCTGATTTAATTCTCCCAGTTACTCGTTGCACTGTACACTGGATAATACAGGAAATTGACAGGATTGGTTGATCATAATGCCTTTCAACAGGAAAGAGGATAGAAACAAGAGTAACAAAGAAACATGAGTCTGATAACACAGGACGAGGCAACAGGATGTCCACAGTTAGAGAGACGATTTCACAGAAATTTGAATGCAAGTTGTTTTTTTTTTCCCAGTAAGAATGAGAGGAAGTGGGGGTCCCCGCAGATGTACCGAGGTCAGCATCGCGCATCCCTCCAGGCTTCACGCCTCATTTACACTGCGGGGACAGCCCACTGACCGACTTATGTTTGAAAGTGGTTCCTAACAACCTACGATGAGATAATTACTGATGTAAAGCCTTCTAAATCAAAGCTAAATGACGAATGGTCCCCTGCAGGGTCAACGTGACGATGCTTTTGTTCAACCACACACACACAAATACTGTCCTCTTCCCTGACCAATTCATTGTGCTTCCTTTAAATAATACTTTCCAGGAGAGAAGTCGTAGGTCGTGACATTTCTGAAGCTGCCTGAAATTAAAAAGAACACTACTCCTCCTCACCAGTCATCCAAAATAAATTAAATTCAACAATCATGTAGGCCAGCTACAAAGAAAAAAAAGATCAAAATTAAATTAAAACTACACAACAATCATACTTCACAGGATATACGCCAGAAAGATAATGTTATTAACAGCTTGATCGGATTACCCCGTCATTACAACACGCTGGGTTATTTCACACGAACGTAAACAAGAGTGAAGGAGGAGGTTCGAGGAAAGGCAGAAGGTGTAAGCCTTTCTGAAGCTGTGGAGCAAAAGGCAGTCCGTCCATCGGCGTTAATAATCACCTTGTGCTGCTGGGGTTTATGACTCACACCCTCCTGTAGTGTTCAATACTGATGTGGGGACAGATTTCAAGAGTTTCCTGCTCAACCAGTCCGCTGGTCATCAAGCTCAAGGCTTTGCCAGAGCTGTGCAATGACAAAGAGAGAGAGGGAGGGAGGCGATAATGGGTCGCATGACATTTACAGGTGTTTATGTACAGGAGTAACACTGAGATGAGGTCGCTCCGGTGCTCCGTGGCCTCGTCTCTGGCTTATGTTCCTTTATATGCAGAATCTCAGCCGTCTGCACACGCTTGAGCCGGCAGCTTGACATCATTATCGTTAAATTGAAACTGGCTGTTTGTCAGCTTGAAGATCAGATCAGTGAGGATGATGACAGAAATGGGGCTTATTAAAAGCAAAACAAAAGAGAGCTCTCTCACAGATGCAGTATCCCTTTTCAGCGACAACCAGAGAGGTAAAAAGTAATATTGTTCTGGATAACCATCAGGAATTAAATGATGTTAGTCAGAAAAAGGGATGAGTCAGGTTATTTACATAACACAAGCCTAACTGTCGCCATCTAGTGGCTGCCCATATATTGCTCTTGCACAAAACCTGACCATCCCAAGCAGCAAAGACATGGCCACAAAAACGAGGCATTTTAACAACGATATTCAGAAAAATTCAGAGAAAACTGTTTCTGCTGGACGAAAAACCGCAAAACAAAAAACATCAGTGCTTTGTTTTGAATCTTTATCATACCGTTTAGCAGCACAGGGTTAGTCATTTTATCACCTTTCACAGAAACACAAAATAAAGATTCCCTCTGATCACATGTTTAAAGATTGCTTTTAGGAGAAGGGTTAGCTCTGTAATCGTGAGATTTTCCATGCATGTATATGGAGTTTACAGGTATGGCTGTTATATGCTAAAACACACCAAGTGCATCACCATCTCATCTTCCTGCGGACGGTCACACAACTTGTCATTAAAGAGAACATTTCATTTAAAGGCTTTTTCTCATACTTTTTTTAAAAAAAACTTTAAAACAATGTCGAGTCCTGACTGCCTTTCAAAAAAAGCAGCCGTGCATGTTTGTGTGAATTGGAGGTCTTTGGGAAAAAAATGTAACTCTAAAGTGCGAAACATCTCACCATTACACAAAAATTCTGAAACCACCTGTGGTATGTGCTAAAAGCCGCAACGCTGATTAGACTGTGCGCCACACTAAAGATCGGAGATGGCCTGAAAGCTGCAGGGAAAGACCTCGAACCAACCATGCATGCATTTTATCCGCTGAAGACCCACAAACAACCAGAACAGATTCTTGACAAAATATTAAAATTAGCATTTAACTTATGATTTTTCTAAATTTGAGCCCCGTGTGGAGTTTGCATGTTCTCCCTGTGTTGTCTCTGCGTATGCAGGCTTCAGGTTCGGTTAACAGGGGATTCCTAACTAGCTGTAGGTGTGAAATGCGAAGCTCCAGCCTCCCAATCACTCCTTATTGGATAAAGAGAAGGAACTCTTTGAGCTCTTGCTTTTTCAAACCTTTGATTGCACTTTACTACATGCACTAATGTTCCAAGTTATTAGGAAGAAGTGTAGCATTTATTTTGATTTTGAATCATAAATGAATAAACCATCCAGATTTAAGTAGGTGTGTGTGCTGAGGAGGACAGAGGACATTAGCTAACCATAAGCCTATATTTTTTCAGATTTTTTAAATAATACATTTTTAGTTTGGTCTATATGCTTCTTAACCCCTTATCACAACACATGACAAAATAATTTTCATCTTTCAGGAACCATTTGAATTTTCTCTCAAGGCAAAATCAGTTGAGGAGTGCACATGGTAACATCTCGGCTTAGTTGGTTTTACTGTCCGTGTTCAGCCATCAGTACCTTGTGAATGCTTTGTGGTACCGTGACACAACAAATATCCCTGTGAAGCTCGTGATCCCTTCTTTCTGAAACCCTTTGAATTGTGTCTCTGGCACAAACAGAAACAGAATTACGGTCATTTAAAGAGCTCTTCTAAAAGGGCCCTGCAGCTGGGCTGATGGTGAAAAGAGTTAAACTGATAAATTATTAAACATGTGATCAAAGGCACCTGTATTTGCATGTGTTTGGTGAAAAAGGATTAACCAAGAAACTCTTTAACTATTTGGGACTACATAAGGAAGTATTTTAAGAAAAATAAATAAATCTGGCCTACAAGATTCACACTTTGAATGTGAATGGATTAGTGTTTATTTAAGTATTTTAAGTGCCTTAAAGGAAATTCTAAAATCCCACTCTGGACTTAAAAAAAATAGCCTCTATAAGCAGCTCTGACGCCTGGCGCTCTCCGCTGGCTACCAGTCACTGTGCTCGCGTCTAGCCAGCTAGACATGCAAGATCCTGAACAAGCGACTTCTTTCTCACTCGTGTTATTGCTGTTATAATTCGCAAATAATGACCATTTTGGACATCGGCATAATCCACCCTGCTAGAAAATGATCCGTGGAACATGCCGAACCTGAAGATTTCAAGAAATGGGATACTGCACCTGGATGCCTCGTCTCCACATCCCATTAAAGTCTGTTACAGCAATAAAACGTTGAACATCAAGGCTATCTGTAAGACCTTTTCGAGTATTCCTGCATGGTCCTTAATATGTGCCGCTCAAAAAAACAAAAAAAACAAAACACATTCCTTCATATAATTGGTCCAGTCCAGTTTCACAGTCCTTGAACGATCCTGAGATGAGACTTGAAACTGTAATGTCTAATGGAGAGGAAAGGACTTTGCGTTGTCACACTCACATTCACTCACACTCTCACACACAGATAACTCCCTCAGTAACTCTGCCTGTGACATCTGATTGCTGATGACGATGGCATGTCTTTAAGAGAAGGACGAGCAGAGTCAGAGAGGAAGAGTCTCTTTTCGTTTTTGTTTTTTTTCTTTAGCTCTCGGCCACGTCTCTATCTCCGATGCTCTGTCCGCTTCATGCAGTCTTGGGGCAGCGTTTTCATTTCGCGAGCTGCATAAGCATGCTTCGACAGCTACGTGAGGGCGGGGGGATCCTGAAGAACAGACACATCCGGTGGTTTCAGGGAGGGAGAAAATCCAGTTGCGAGGCAGGTTGTTCATGCTGGTGTTCACAATGTTTTCCATGAGCTCCATGCTCCCCACTTTACTCACAGTGGGGAGGCGGGGTGGAAGCGGAGGAGGTGGGGTACTGGGACTTGATACTGTAAACTCATGATAAAGCAGGTTGGTCAGGCTGCAGTATGAGCTGAGCGATTGCTTGTTGTTTGGAGATGTCTGTCCACGACAGTGAGATGTTGAAAGCCGCTTTTATTCTGGGTCAGTCACCTGAGAGACCAACTACTGCAGTTATGCATCTCCCCACTGAAAGCCATCATCCTCTGATTGATAAGCCCTTCTCATCATGATCATCATCGTCATCATTTGCACCTTCTTCCAGTCCTGGTCTCTCTCCATCACAAAGTAAACCCTTGTTTGGATTCAAAATGTCTGTTTATTTCCTCTCTGTTCAGATCAGAGAAGTCTCATAGCTCCTGAATTTTCCTTCAGAACTCAGACAAAAATAAATTATGAACGTTAAACTATCTATTGTACATTATCATTCAAAAGGGAATCCCTGCAATGGGTTGCCTGAATGCTGTGCTAGATGAGGGGTGGGGGTCATATGGGAGAGATTACATAGGACGTTGCTATAGGGAGCTTTGTTTACAATGTTTGTCCTCTTATTGCTGTATTTTCTGCAGAGCAGAGAGGGACATGATGGCCTCCAGGCAAGAAAGATGATGAGCCCTTTAGGCAGGTTCACCACGAGGAAGGAGCCCCGACTTTGTTGTTTCTAATAGTGGCATCGGAGCACTCTGCTTCTGACGAATCGCAGTCCGAGTCCCCAAACTGTAGCGGATTCTGAGAGACAAAAGGGAACAAACAGGGGAACATTAAGAAAGATCCAGCATCAGGGATGATTTGAGATGCATTATGATCTCAAGAATGAGGTTTTGTGCAATGCAGTAAATAAAATAAACATAAATTAATGTTTCTTATGACTCCAAACAAAAAGGGTTTGGATTCATTAGTTCCAACTTTAAATATGACAGGCTATTTGTATTGCTGACATAGCCACCCCTTTATGACCACAGTGGGTGGATGTGTTGCCGGCAAATCTGTAGCAACTGTGTTATGCTATCATGTGAATATGGACCAAAATCTCTGTGGAATGTTTCTAGCACCTTGTTGAGTTTGTGCCACGAAGAACAGTTCTGAAGCCAAAAAACGGGTGCAACCCCCGCTTCTTTCAAGGTGCATGTAAGATGTACCATAGTTTATAATAAGGTCAGTATGGACTGATTACACCCAGCTCTGCTCCTGCTTGTGCATGGGGAGCAGCTAAAACCACTTGTTTCAGGCAGAGGATGAACTGATGAGCTGCAGGGATTTTTTTTTAAACTGAGAATCATTCAAAGCTACTGTAGCAAAGTTCAAAGATAAAAATATAGAATTAGAAATGAGCACATTCGGTCCCCTGTAAATGAATAAATTAAACATCAAAGTAAAATGATTTAATGCCCTACATACGAATACAGAGTGTGTTCATCAGTAGTGATAGAGCAAAGGCTTACTATTAATAAGTGATGTGCATAGTGTCACATTCTTTCAGTCTATATGTAGAAGCCCAGCCCTTTAAACCATCTGAGAGCTTTTATTTGGCCACAGAAGTGCTTTCAGCTAAATGCTCATATCCGCATGCTAAACCCATTTTGGTAGTAATCCTTTAAACAGCCGCTCATGGTGGCGCTGGAGGAAATGTTAGGACACCATCAAAGTCAGAAGACTATCTGGACTGAAGCGGTGGATCTTACCACCCTTCGAGCTACATCTGCATAGAGATTCACGCAAACTGACCTCGTAGCTGTGTTCGTCGGAGCACAGCTTCCCCAACGAGATCTGCGTCTTCACCCTGCGGACGGCACACTCCTTGTCAGAGAGGCCGTCTGACTGGGTGGAGATGTCGATGGGGATGTCCGGCGTGTGGGACAGCAGCTCGTCCAGGTGTTCCTCCTGACTGGCGCTCAGCCTCTCCAGGGGTCCGCTGTGCGAGTGGTCACTGGTGTTTCCTTCCTCTCCGTCAGACACCGACAGGTTCTCTGAGCTGAAAGTAGAATAGGACTGGAAACTGCTCATACAGCGATGAGGTCTGTCAAGGAGAGAGGGGAGAAAAAAAAATGAAAAGAAAACTTCCACATGGTTACTGCAGCAGTTTCTTTTGAAAATGGCTCCTAGTTGATCTGCTAAAGATCATTTTCTTTTGCTGCAAACTAAATGACCTTCTGTATTCACCTCTGTCTCCTTGGAAACTCCACTTCACTATCCACCTCTCCCTCTTCTTCTTCGGATGACTCATCACCACCCTGAAAAAGAAGCGGTAACAGCTTTTAATCCCACACAAGCACACGTTACATACTCATCGGTGTAAAGGCACCAGCTCTGCTCACCTTCCTGAGCGGCCTGAGAGTGCGGGGCAGTGCAGAGGGCAGTGTGTGCGCGTTCTGGGATGCATCCTGTTCCTGCGTCTCTGTCTTCTTTGTGGTCTCTCCATCTGAGACTGTGTCTTTGTTGTGTGCCCCCAGAGAAGACTGGTTGCCCTCTTGGGTGTTGAGCAGCGAGTAGTGCGGCAGCTCTGGGTGGCTTGATAGGGGAGGGGTCTCCTGACAGTGTAGACAGCCGGGGAAGGGGTGAGCCTGGCAGCAGGGACATAAAGAACCAGCACCAGCGCCTGATGCAGGTTTGGAGCCGGTGGATGAAGTCCGCTGTCGCGTGTCTGCATCCACAGCGGTGGAAATGAGGTCAGGACTGGAGCCAGAAACGCGGCGCTGCATGTGGTCAGTTTGAGGGCTACGGAGGGCGGCGGCGGGGCCGAAGTATCGCAGGTTGTTGGCACAGTTGACAACAGCCTGCTCGCGACCTTTCAAGGGGAGAAAGTTCCCCTCAGTTTGAGGAGGGTGGTGGTGGTGATGATGGTGGATCGGTTGCTCCTGGAGAGAGTGGGTTTCTTCTGGTGCTCCAGCAATGGGTTTCAGCACAGTGGAGAACTCGCTGTGGCTTCCTTTGCTGTTGGCGCGGCGGTGACGAGGCTTGCTTCGGTACCGGGCTTTGCCAGGAGGGGTGGAGACCTTCGGGCTAGCAGACAGCGGTGAGGGCGACGGGAGAGGGTCTACGCTAGGGATGCCATCAGAGCGAAGCAGGTCTGGCCTGGAAAATATGAATTGTATTCAACAGTTCATTTAAGTATTTAAATGACACTCTGACCTGAGCTGCGATAAATCACACATCTGCAGCTGAACCTACAGATACATGAACGTGTAACTTTTAATAGAGATAATACGTTTGAAAATCAGACCTTTTGGTGGGAGGCATCCCAGGTTTGTGGGAAATGCTTCCTTTCTTCTTGATGAGCTTCTCCACAGCGTTGGATCTAACGATCGGTCGGACTAAGTGGCGCTTGTAGCTGCCGGGATATTTCTTCTCCACCGCCTGCTCTCTCCTACGGTGATGCACAGAACTAGATTTAAGTCAGATCATGGGGGAAAAGCAGTCACACTGCACTTTAGTTAAACACAACATAGCAAACATTAACGGGAAGTGAAAAGCATTCCTGACATGTAAAGCTACATCGAGGAATCTGCAATAATTTAAGAAACTCACTATTTATGTACATCAAGCGTAAGTCAAAAAAAGCAGAGACTCATAGGAAAAATCTAAAAATACTGACGATACCATTCAGATCATTTTTGTCACTCTAGCTAGCTGAACATGCTTTCAGTTCTGTTGCAGTTTGTTACTGGAAATGTTGAAAGAGAGGAAATACGGGCACAATGAGAGCAGGATACTAGTAAAGCACAGATGTGACAAAAATGTTTATCGACATACTTCATCAGCTCCTTTTCTCGGACCTCCAGCTGCAGCATGATGGCACTGAGCTCCATGTAGAGGTTGTTGGCTCTCTCCAATTTCCTCTCATAGTGCTCCCGGATGTCCAGTGCATGCCTGAGAACATGCATGAAATGCATCCAAATGTTCAACTCCAGTAACTTCTGCTTTATGTACAAATTAAAAACCATGTCTTCTATTAACAAGCCACATGTCTGCTCTCTTTTCCCCACACACCTGAGTTCATCCCTCCTGCGTCGGATCAGCTCCTCGTCCAGCCTGTGGATGCAGGTGCCTTCACTTTTGATCTTCTCAAAATGCTTCTTCACCTCCTCCCTCCATTCTGCCTGTAATATGGACTTACACAGTCAACATGCAGCCAGAGCATTCACTGCACAAAGAATTACACTGCAAAAAGCACACAAAGTTAAGGTGTAGTCTTGCATTTCTCAGTATTGGTCCAGACCTGAGACTTAAAGTAGGTCTCCTGAGGAGTTCCCAGAACATCTGCAGAGGCGATGTCGAGATGTAGGAGAATCTGACGAAACGACGGCCTATTCCTGGGCTTTCCCTGCCTGGAGTTCATGAAAATCATGAAGGAAGATACACAGAGTATGTTTACGTTCTAGCAGTTATCATATTTTAAGTGATGTAGTAGAAAAGCTGTTTTTGCTCACCATGTCTGTTTCATGAGGATTTTAAACCCATCTGGGCACGTGGAGGGGACGGGAAGGTGGAGACTGTTGCTGCCGACACCCCAAATAATGGCGGATGAGTCCACATCTTTGTAGGGAATCTCTCCAGTCAGTAGCTCCCATAACACAACTCCAAATGACCTGCAACACACAAGCAAAGATGGACAGGTTTCATTGCAGAAACATGACTATTAAAGATGACACTTAAAATATCCTTTTCTATGATGTGGAAAAGCTAAACATTGCTTCATATTTCTTCATCTATTACTCACCAGATGTCTACTTTTTCAGACACAGGCTCATTTCTTATCACTTCTGGGGCCATCCAGGCCACCGTCCCCGCAAATGACATCTTTGTACTTTTATCACTGAGCTCTTTGGATGTGCCAAAGTCTGAGATTTTCACAGTGTCGTTGTGGGTCACCAAAACACTAAAAGATGCACAAAGAGAAAACACAGCAAGGTCAGTCTATTTGGTTAAGAGGAGTGTAAAAAAAAAAAAAAGGGAAAAAAAAGGCAGACAAAGCAGGATGAGTTGGCCCGGGGTTAAAACATTCAGGCTGATGATGATGATAATGCACAAGTTTTTACAGGGTATGAGCTTTTCTTTCTTTAGCACTTAGAATCAGTTTTAAGCCAAAACGACTTCGCTGATAGAGAAGCATCTGAATCACCCCATTAGTCGAATGAGTCTGACCTTTCCAGCACACTCAGACTGCTATTATTCTGCTGACTAATACAGTGTGCGGCACTGCTGCAGCACGATGATATTGATTAGAGATGCAAGCGTGCAGCGGGGATGAGGCAGAACAATCTGTCATACTCTTACATGAAGACGAGTAGCTTTTGTTAAATTTGAGAATGGTATTTGAGTTAATGTCAGACTATTCAGAGCAGAAAGGATGGATTGTGTGAACACAGCACTCATGATGCACCAGGAAAACTATGCATTTCATTCCCACAAAAAAAAGAGTAAATAACTTAAATTTGATTTAGGTCTACTACTGTGTTTTCTCAACACAAATGTATAAGATGCTCCTCCGTCAGAAAGTTAATCAGCTTCCTGCCCGACAAACTCACTTAGGAGACTTGAGGTCTCTGTGGATGATCTTGTGCAGGTGTAGGTAGTTCATGCCGCTGGCAATGCCTGTGGCCCAGTCCACCAGCAGCCTTGGGGTCACTTTCCTCCCCGCTCTCAGCACCTCATACAGCTGACCCTGGGCACAGTACTCCATGATAATGCAGTAACAAGGTGCCTGGGTGCACACACCCCTGACACAGAAAAAAAGACAGAATACATGTTAAACACACCCAGAGCGCCACCAGATGAAACAAACGCGTCACGCACAAGGGCGAGTGACTGTGGACTTACTTGAAGCTGATGATATTGGGATGCTTGAGCTTTCGCAGGTGTTTAATGTCCGTCTCCTTCTGTTCTCGCACCTTCTTGATAGCCACTTCCTCGGAGCGAAACTTGCCCAGGAAGACGGCACCCTGTGCTCCGCTGCCGAGCCACTGCAGCTCTGAAATCTCCTCGAAAGGAACCTCCCACATGTCTGAAATCAGGTTAGCAAGTTTTGTCAAAATGACCACAGCATCCTGTTACTTTGCAAAGTGTACATGATGAACTACATGTGTTCTTTAGCAACTTTTTTGTCAGTAATGTCAGTAATACTTGCTTTTCAGAACACTGTTTTATAGGCTTACAGCCCAAGGATAATGGATGTTTGTGTGTCTTTCATTTCAGTTTATATAAATGTGAAGCTACTCCTACAAGTTGTGAAGAAGTAAATACTTCATATTGGTTTATAGCAGTGGTGTCCAAACCCAGACCTCGAGGGCCGGTGTCCTGCAGGTTTTAGATGCGTCCTTGATCCATCACAGTTTATTTAAATGGCTAAATTACCTCCTCAACACGTCTCGAAGTTCTCCAGAGGCCTGGTAATGAACTAATCATTTGATTCAGGTGTGAAGACCCAGGGTGAGATCTAAAATCTGCAGGACACCGGCTCTCGTGGCCAAACCTGCTCCATAGGTTCAGATACCTATAGGTACCGTCTCCATCACAGCAGGTCTCTTATCTTGTAAAACCTTCTTTCATTCTTGCTGCTATCTTTCTGTCCCCTAACACTCATCTCCACCCACTCCACCCTGCCTGTTCTCTCCATTTCACCCCTCTTGTGCATTGCCCGTCGCTTTGGATGGCTGGCATCGGGTACTTAAACACATCCACCTTCACTACTGACTGCATCTTTCTGCTTGCCTCCCTCTTATTCACACACATTTTGTCTTCCAATATTTTTGTTAAACCCTTGAATTATAGCTGAAAGTCTGCACTTTGATCACAGCTTTCAAATCCACAGTGGTGTAAATTTCCACAAATGACCACAAAAATACACCAGAAAGTACATATTTTATAGTTCTTACCAATATTTGTATAAATAAGCCTTTAGCTCCTATAAATGTCTTAGACCTTCAAATACTGAATCATGCTGTTTAAGTGGTTTTAGAAACAGAAGCTACGACCTCTAGCCCAGACTACGGCTAAGCAGCCACGAGATCCAGCCCAGTTCTGTCTGACCTCGACTCATATCCCGTAGCTCTCGTCCAGCCTGAGCGTGCAGCCCTGCGGCAAGGTGAGCCTACCTTTACCATGACCTCAATTCAAACTGACAGCTGTGCAGCTTCACTTGCAACAGCAAAGCGGCGAAGCCAGGACGGGCTATTCAATTACAGTTTCAGAATACATTAGGAGAAACAAGAGGGAATCTTTTGTTCGTTTCTCAGAAGTTTCACAGGTACGGGGACATCTGAATTAAACAAAAAGCATTTAGTGTGTTAAACTGATGCAAAACAGAAAGATAAAACCCAAAGTTTACCTTGCTGTTGTAGCTTGTATTCAGTAGAGTAGGTCTTCCCAATAATGTTCCACACAGGCCGCAGGCAGCCAAAGAGCCCCTCTAAGAAGCCTCCCGACCCAGGAGGGGCTCTTTGGAAGTGCAGCTTGATGTCATCAGGGTGATGCGGGAGTTTCGGCTTGCCCTCTCCATTGTGGTCCATTGGACAGTCCCCCTCTCCCATATGCTCGTCCATGCCGCTGCCACATCCAACGTGCTCATGGGATGCCGGCGACCCAGCTTCCTCGTGGTCCTGCTCCTGCAGCTGGAGCACGCTGTTGTCAAAGTGTCCGCCTTCGCTCCGAGTTGAGTCCACGCTCAGGGCTGCGTTTGGTGGACTAGTACCGCCCAACATGGACTCCTCATCCTGGCCAGGCGTCTGCAGCAGGGGAACGGGCAGGTGTGTCGGCGGAGCGAGGTCTGTGATGATCTGAGGAGGTAAGTTGGATAGAGGGGCCTGAGGAGGCTGCGGTTGGGAGTTAGGCGAGCTGGATTTCTTCATGCTGTCCCCAACCACAGTGAGTTTGAGCTCCTCCTTCAGCTTGCCCACCAGTAGACTTGGACAGGAAGTCCAAGAGAGCACCTCAGGGGAGCTGCCCATGGTGTCGTGCATGTGTATGGGCTGCCCAGTGACGATGAGTGGGACGTGTCCTAACACACTGGTTTGTCTAAATGCTGAAAATCACCTGAAGAGAAAACCAGAATGAGAAACTGTTAACTAGATTAAAAACTACAAAAACAGGAATGCAATTAAATACATTTACATAACTATAGTCACCTCAGATAAAACATAATTAAAGCTGTCTGCATGATAGGACCCTATTACGTCCTAAAACAGACATGAACACCTCTCATGTCCTCTATTAGATCTGCAGGGATTGACAGAGCATTAATGATTATTATTTTTAGCTACACAGTGCAAACACTGCAGGGTAAATGATGTTGGAAATATCAGAAAGGCGGAAGAGACAACACTGCAGAATTAATACTAATAACTCATTTCTAGGAAACTTATAGGAAACAGTCGGCCGAAACCAATCACACACACCAACCGAGGCTTTTCTATTATCTCTCTGAAGCAGTAACACTGTAGACGGGATTAAAGACCTTGCTGTGTATTAGGACTGCTGAGAGGAAGACATCTGGCACGAACAGCCCATTCTCATTCTTAAAGCCAACAAAGGCCCAGGCAGCCGTGAACACGGAGGGTCAGAAACCGACACAGAATCACCAGGTGAAGATCTTTACCATCCTAATGTGTCTGTGAGTCAGGAAGGGACACAGCATTTAAAAATAAACGACAAAAAATATGCAAATCCTCTGTATGCACTTTTATATTTGGATTTTGATATTGTGACATATTTGGTAAATGCACTGGTGCTTTTATAAAGCTTTTCTACTCTATTTAAGCACTCAAAGTGCTTTCTTTCTGCAAGCCTCATTCACTCATTCATACAAGCACCCTTTTCTATGTCTAACTTTATATAACCTGCTTGCTCTTTATAAAACTCTAACTTATATCCTAACATTTACAACTTGAGGTTAAGTGTCTTGATGAAGGCTATTTTGACATTCAGATTAGACCAGCCCTGCGAAAGATTAACGGCTTGTCCAGGAAGTACCCTGCCTCTCGCCCCATGACAGCTGGGATAAGCATGAACTGGATGGATGGATGACATGATTATAATTCTTTGTTAATTGAGGAAATAAAATACCAAATCACACTGACAAATTGCCTATTGCATCCACAAATATTACACAAATACTTCCACGTCCACTGATGGCGACATGGCAAAAGCATAAAATCAAAATAATAATAATAATTTAAAAAAAACAAAACAAAAAAAAAACAACATTATAATTTTGTTGTGTTACATAACACTGGCTCACATGATCTGAAGGTTAAGGTTTGATAGTTTAATAACACTAATCAGGAAATAAATCTGAAAGATCATCCAGCTGGTGAACCCCGAGTAGAGATCATTTCATCATGCATACCGATCCAAAGGTTAAGCACAAACATTCATGCTCAAGCACTTTTTGCCTGATAACATCAGGCATAGTTAAAAATTACCAGCAATTTTGCAACGTGACAAACAAAACTATTTATTACGCAACAACAGAAGCAAAACTATCAACATTATTCACCTTCTGCTACCAATTTTGCAACTTTTAAAAGGATCAGTCATTTCCTAAAAGGCAGATTTTAAAGAGACTGTGGGGAACTTCAGGCAATGACTAATTTGAGTGCATTTACGACAGTAGGATGAAATATAATAAAAACTATGTTTGGATAAAAACATAAAGTAGTAAAAAAATTTTACTCCTGGTTAAATATTCAGCAGCAATTTCTGAATATTTTTAATATTATACTAAAATCTCTGTGTGTTTGATTACTACTCATTGCTTCTCAAATATAATATTATTTCTTACCTGTGCTGAAGCCCTTTTTCCTGTAAGTGTACCTACATTCATGATGTAGTAATTGGGTTTGTAGCCGCTCATATATAGCAGGTCAGTGTACCTGGACTAGAGGTGTTCTGTACGCACAGTGCATTTTTCCAACACTGCCACCAGGAGTTGCCAAAGTCAAAACCGGTCAAATCCTCCAGGCCGAGGCTTTAATTTGTTGCAAGTGTGCCGCACGCTGTGTTTTCAGACAAACAGATGGCCTTTTATCCACAGTCTGACTGTGTTCATCTACCCAAAAGGGGAAAAAAAGTGAATCAATCACTGTGTAAATGACACTTGAGCTTTTTCTCTTTTAAATCCACAAGGACAAAAATCCAATCATGCCTGAGCAAGCTGTAGAAAACAGAGGGTGTGGGAGACAGAGAGAGAGAGAAAGGGACATAGTGAGAAGCTGCACAGTGCGCACGGTCACAAAAGATCAAAGTCCAGGAGGGAGGAGACAGAGAGGCAGAGCAGTGCCCTGGCTCTGTGTTACGTGGAAGGAGGACAGTCATATAGTCCAACTGAAGCCAGCGTGGTTTATGTTGCTCTCTGCAGCACGGTCGTAGAGCTCCTCCACTTGGCACGGGTCAAAGTACAAACAAGCCCTGATTACTCGGCTGCAGATAAGTTCTCTGCAGACAAAGCTGCAACAGACCGCCTGAGTCCCGACTTCAAACTTAGTTTTAATCCCACTTTTATTCCAAGCTTCTGTTCAATGCTTTTTGCAAGTGTTCGCCAAAAGCATGTACTGTATCCGTGTATCTACTGGACGGGTAACATGAGTGGTGTGAGTGTGGGGCGGCTGCCAGGAGCTCATCTATAATGCAGGCCTGTCTCTAAGCAGGCTGCTGAGAGTGCAGGGGAAGGAGAGAATGCTCTCTCAGGTATCCAATAAATCCGTCCCTTCCAAAGCAGAGACAAACGAGCTGTACGAGCAAAGGCCCATGCTGTAATTCCACCTCACAAACGGCTCTCAGAGCTGGGCTTCTGACGTGGGCTTGCTGTGGGTGGAGAAGGCTGACTGGACAGAAACATGCACAGGAAGACCTAAAAATTAACACCTTTTTACTTTTTTGTTTTTAACTAAATCTCTTTCCAAACAACAAGAATCTTTAGTGCCTTTATTCTACAAATCCAGCACCAAGAACAGGAAATGGACCTCTTGCTCTTTTCCATTAATCTCTAATGGAAGATCTCTATGGGCGTAGAATCCCATGAATAATGTCTGTGCTGCGGGTTTCATTTCCACAGGCATTTATTTACAGGACTTTCCGAAAGAGATCGTGACTGAGTAAAAGGACAAACCGACGGAGTGTTTGCACAAACTCGGTGCTGCTTCGCAGAAGTACACAACCCACTTATTTAGCAGAATGAGTAAAATAAAGAAAGAAAGGGAGGAAGAGAGGGAGAAATTATCAGAGGCTGATCCTTTAATCCCTCTACAGGGCTCTAGAGACATGCTTGTCCAAACACAGACCCTATTCGGCCCTCCCCCTCAATTTATCCTCCACATAATTCCTTTCATTTCTTGCCTCTCTAAAGGTGACCTAAAGCCTAACAGATCATGACATGTACATGCATAGTATATAGATACAACCTTAAAAGAGCAGAGCAGCACTGCCGGATAAAGAGCTCACTGCAATTGGTTATTGTAACGCTTCATATCCGAGTGCATACAACAGCTGGTGGTGCAGGGGGATCAGGTTCAGGGAGCACACATGCTCACACACACACAAACACGCATACACAGACAGACGCACACATGCCCAGGGCGTGTCTGGCGAGATCCAATAATCCCACTACTCCCAGCAATTCACGGGGGAATGCAGTTTTTTTTGTATCACTCAGCAAACGCCAGTATGGTTGTTTAGATCCTGCTTCAACACTCTGTGCCAGCAGGATGTTCAGCAATACTTTGAGCATAAACGCACGTACACAGTCCACCCGCAAAACGCGGCATTGCGGGCGGCATCTGCGTCTCTGTGCTCCTCATTAAGAGAAGCCCTGCTGGGACCCATAGAGGGAACCTCCCTTCAGGTGACAGCTGCGACCCCCTGACAAAGAACCAATTTAGCCCCTATCCCACCACATCATTCACACGTTACCATGTCAACACAGCATCCGTCCTGACCTTCTGCTTCCAGTCGCACTCAATCTCATCCAACACTTGGAGAGGCTACAAGCGTGAAGGCTGTTGTTGTAACATGTGCTACCGTGTCTTGGACACAGAATGATATCTAGATCTGGATTTGGTTTTTAGAATATCAAGATAATGTCACTCAAGCCTTTTTTTGTTTACATTTTATACATATTAGCAAAGATGTGAACTGAAATAGCAACAAATCCTCTAAAAACATTCCAGGATACAGATACAGACGTGGATCAGGATCAAAAGTCAATCACGTCCAACTTTAGCCTAAACTCACCTCCGTTAAAACCTGAGCAATCCCGCTAACAAGCAGACAAACTGAACCAATCACGTCAACTCGTCCACAGAGGTCACGAGGACGAGGAAAACCATATCATTCCACTGATCAGTTCTTCAGCTTCCTTTTGAACAATAAGATGTCAGAAGAGAAGTAAACATCTCACTTGATGAGATACTGGAGGTTCAACAGCTGCCCTACAAACAAAATCAAATCGCACACATGCCTGCAGCACAATGAGGCACAGCCTTTCACATCCGGTCATTCCTGAGAGCTCATGTCTGGGAGGAAAGAAATACCTGCAACAACAGAGCACTTTCATGCCTCCCACTTCCCTCTTGTCTTGAAACAAACATGAGTGAGAGACAGATGGTGAGAGCAGCGCTCGTCTTCACTGAGCATGTGCTCGTCTTGGTTATTCTGGGTCATAATTGAACAGCTGAACTCTGATGTCTGTGCTTGTTTCTCTCCTCGGTGCACTCTATGGACTTTTGCGGCCTCTGCTTATCTAGCGACTAAGCAATGATGTGAAATTTGTAAACATGCTGCTCATATATTTCCATAAATTCCTCGGAAATGTGAGCTGCCCGGTCCTGATTTGATAGTTGGGGATGTGGTCCGACGTGTAAATCAGCTTTCGCTTGCTACCAAGGCCGTGAGTCCTGCCAGAGGGGATTGGACAGGCTGCCGTAGGTGGGTGAAAGTAATAATCTGCTGGTGTGGGGAAGAGCTGTGAGGGAGAAATAAACAAATCTGGCACAGCGCTCGGGCATCTGCCGTCACATGGCTGACATTTCCCACTAATACCCTTTTTTCATATTCTGATTCCCTCTGCTGACTCACCTGAGCGGACTTAAAATACCTGTTATTGGCCGAAGGCGAAAGCGGGTCACAGAACAATAATCCCTGCCCGTTTACCTGCCTGCTCAGGGTCTGACTGGCGTTGCTGGTGGAATAGGAACAAGGTCGAAGCTGCCGCTAGAAGCCACAGGGAAAGTGCCAGGTGGGATCATGTGTGATTGGGTTTGTTGTGAAGACTGGATTGAGTCAGGTGGAGGAGGAGGAGGAGGAGAGGGGAGGTTAGGTGCATGAATGAAAGTGGCAACGAGAGGCGATGAGTAGGAGGGAATGAAGAGTGAGTAAAAACAAACCCGAAGAGTGTGCTGTCAGCATTCAAACCCTCCAGATGACCAACAGAATGAGCACGACTGTGAATCATTAGCACTCCAAACACACACACAACTTGTGCCTCAAATAGCCTCATCTGGTACAAGCCAGAATCGGAGAAAATAAATAACTGAAGAAAAGCTTGTGCGCCATCGACACGTCACACACTCTCCCTCCAGCCTCTTGGCAAGGCTGCAGACAGCACTGCAACCAGGACACAATGCCTAAAAATCTGCAACTATCTGGCATATGCTCCTCTGCAAAACTCTCAAGGCTTCAATACGAGCCTTTCTAGTCAAGCAGACTCTCTGCTCCCAGTGATGCTTAGCAATAAAAGCTCTACAGAGGTCTATTTATGAATACTAACCACACTCCCACACACATCCAGATAGCTGATGAATTCGAACAGACAGAGAGGGATGGTGAGGCCAAGGAGACAGTGGAGGGAGAGACTGGCTCAGAGAAATGTAGATAAAGGGGGGGAAAAGCAGATTAAGAAGGCAAAAGGGACCAAAGAAGCTGTGAATGAGGCAGATAAAAAGGAGGGTGGACTGCAGAATGAGTGAAATCAGAGGAAAAATTAAGACGAAACAGAAAAACAGACGTTTTGCTGTTTTCCGTGGCTGCTCGCGGCGCGAAACTGTACCGACCACGCTCCAGTGGGAAAGACTCCCAGAGCGACAACAAAGGACACAAGAGGAGCCGGCTCCATGTGAACCGGGCCTGTCTGCCCTGCACGACCAGGAGACAGCGGCACGCACGCACACACACACACACACACACACACACACACACACACAATACTGCACAACAGGGCAGCTGCTGCCACAACAATTCCCCTTGTGCTCTTTTAATAGGGACGGCCTGCCTGGCCCGACAACAACAAGGAGAGAGACAGACACACAAACAGTGACACCACAGACAAACATGCATATTGCAGGAGCCTGCCTGTGACTGACACCGTTATAATGGCTGAAATATGAAAATACACAAAGCCCCAGCTAAAAAGAAAAGGAAAGAAAAGTGGGGCAAGAGACTCTAAGGGGATGTGGGTGGGTGTTGTACTACATGTTCTTCCTTCTGCTCAAAAAACAGCCTCTCTAGCACAGCAGAAAGCCCAGAAAATCAATACACATTAGTGCTCCTGTTATCTCCTGGCTTCATGCTTTCCCTGCTTGCTCTTAAAAACACAGCATGCATGTAAATCTAAGCAGTGAACCTCCCCCAATCAGCAAAGTCAGACACTCTGGAGAAAACCCCTCATAAACATGAATATCCAGCTTTTTATTTTTTATTTTTTTAATGCTCTCTTGCAAAAGGACGGCTGGATGTACGTATGCTGGAGTCGTCCCCTCCTCCACCTCCTCTCCTCTAAAGCCTGGCTGCTGGCTACTCATCTTGTGTAGTTACATAAACATGCTTAGTAGCAGAGGACAGAGGTGGGCACACACAGAGCTCTCCTGCTGCCAAGTAAATACAGAGGTTGATGTAAAGAGCTGCAGGAAAGTCGAACATGGCGAAGCGGACAGGGGGACGTTAAATATGCGAGAGTTGAGAATGAGAAGCAGTGGAAGGAAAGTCAGTGTGGTTTGGAATGACCGTGACTGTACACAAAATACATGTGGCCCAGATAAGTCAGACTGAGGGGGAGTTATTTATTTATCTATTTATTTATTGTTATTATTTATTGCATTTGCTGGCAAAAATAAAGCAAGTGAGGGCGGGTCTGTTGCCCTGTATCTTTACCTACATCCCACCTGTCCTTCAGAGGACACAGAGAAGCACTGCATCAAAAAAAAAAAAGAAAAAAAAAAAAGAAAGAAAAAACCCAAAACCCAGCAGCGGCGTCACCGCTGATCCTAAAATAGCTCCAGCACGCATCAACGCACGACCGCTCAACACACTCCTGCAGCACTGCTACTGAACAAATACTGACATGTGCTCTATACACACAGACAGACTCCCTGCAGATGTGCGATGTGCAAAAGAGACAAATCATACCCATAAGCATGAGAAGGACCAGTACCTCCACATTACAGTGCTTCCACTCAGATGAACGGCAAAAGACATAGCATCAGCAGATTACTCACAGCAGACACGGCTCAGATTCATGGTCCTCTCTCAGCTAAGGCAGGGATGTGTGGAGGGGGGAAAAAGCCGGGCGAGAGGAAGACCGAACTGACAGTCGGGATTCAGAAGAAAGGAAAAAAATAATAATAAAAGAACAGGAGTGAGGGAGAAGGCAGAGGATGGAAGATGACAGACATTCCTCTAACTCCTGCAGCACCTGGGCTGTGAGTGGGAGGGTGGCATAGTCACCGGGACGATGAAGACCTGCTCACGTCACACTTTTCATGAATGGAGCCGTCTGACGCAGGGAGGACGCCGCTCAAAGAGCAGAGGAGATTTTGGGGGGGGGGGGCTTGTTGCACAGACTCAGAAAGGAGGAGGTGCAAACGGAGATGAAGAGGAAAGCAGAGGAAGAGAGATGGAGGAGGAGGAGGAGGGCGTGCATTTCAAAGCAGCACCAGCTGGGAACAGAAGGTTAGGCTGCGGTGGCGTCTCCGTAAGTAGGACAAACTGTTTTGGCACAGGAGAAAATCCTTTTGTACCAAATCAGTTCTTTCACGCCAATTGTGTCAAAATCACAAATGTCTGCAGGCTGGATCCAGTGAGGACTATCCATTTGTCATGAAATACTGCCCCCCACCCCCCTCAAAAAAGAAAATTGGGACAAAATATCTTGCTTTGCAATCACGTCCGGTGGAAATTAATCCCTCTGCAGCGCCAGTGTCAAATAACAACACATGTTCTTATTTTTCAGGCTTTTAAATAGCATGAAGGGTTTGCTAAAGGTCACAATTAGCACAGCAGTAGAACATTTATAAGCTGAAAGTCAGAACCAAATAAATGAGTTAATCTAACTAAACTGAAGTCAAGATGAAATAATCTCTAACAAAAAAGTGTTTTTAAAGGAATTAGGGACCACCTTAAACACACTTCACCAGTGTGTTTCATTAAATTTGCAATTTCTCCATTACAAAGTATTTTTACTGTTTAAATGGTAAGTTTTCCCCCAGTCTTTCTGTGTTTATAAGAATATGGAGTAGAAAAGATCCCTGAGATTATTGAGAAATATCAGCAGCATCACAGCTGAGCAGGGAGCAGTGCGGATTAAAAGCAATGTCTTTATATGAATATCTAGCAATAAAACAGAACTCTATGAAACACACATCAATATCAACCCACTCACATATTCAGACAAGATGCCTTTAAACCCCATTTACCCCCACAGGTGAGCAGCTGGAAGAGCCACACTTCTATCTGTACTCTCTAAGCAGACTTTCCTTCTCTCTTTGGCCTCAGATAAAGGAAGAGGTGATCAGTGTTGATGAATGAGATTTAGCTGAAAGCACAGAAGTATAATTTGAGCTTTCAACACAAAATAATAACTTGTGAATAACCCTGATTAATATCTTCTACACAGATCCGACAGCCAGGCTTGCTCCACTTCCTCAGTCACCTTCTAGAAGCCATCACTGGAAAGCAGCACTTCAAAATATCAGGAAAACTCAGTGAAGAACAGTAAAGACACTGAATAAGGACATTACAGTGTACCAATACCACCTCTGTGATTTTTGTCCTACAGAATTACAGTTAAATGAGGTCACATCCCATTCATTACACACATACACAGCTGCACTATGAACACATAAAACCACACAAGCAGTCAGAAATGTTCCTGTAAACTGTGGTCATGTGACTTCAGTTATCGAATCATTATGACCATTATAACTAGCACAGGGTGTAAATGCTCTGCACTGCTGCTCTTTCTCTATATTACATAATAACTGTTCCAGTACAGTTTAACTTCAGGTTCCTGCACAGGATGCTTTATGCATGCTCTCCTCATTTACATAAAACACCTAAATCTACAGCTGAAATTATTAGAAAATGTATCAATTAGTTATTCTACAGGCAACAACAATGCAAAAAAAAATTACTGAGTATCTACATATACTCAGGTAAACAAGATGGCAAAAAAAAAAGTCCACTCAAAGAACTCAGGGCACAGTTTCATACCGAAGTCCTTACTGCAAAGGCCAGGCAATTACCTGCGTGTCACTCACTCTCTCTCTCCTATCCACTCTACACTTCCCTAAGTAACAAAGGCCCAAAATGCTAAAAAATGTAATAATAATAGTAATAAAAAGAATAATCTTACAGCAGTAGGGGTTTAATAGCTTCAGGGCTGAAAAACTACGATAGTCAGAGAGAAAATAAAAAGGTCAGAACGTCAGGTTGTTCTTTTCTCTCACCAAAAGGTCATCTATCGTCTCACACAGTCTCTGACACCCTCCCCTCAGTGGGCACCATCACTTCGGCCATTATACTGGTCAGCACATGCTTGTGACTTTGCATGTGTGTGAGTGTGTTCATTTACTGACCTGTCAGGTGGTTTCTGACCATGTCAGAGGTCTGCAGAGCGGGAACTGGATTCAGCTTCTCACCTGCAGCATAAAGACACACGGAGCGGTGAAAACGGGGTTCGTGCGAGCAACATGTTCCACTTTAAAGGCTTAAATAAGGACAATGCACTGTAAGCATGATGCGCAATTGGAAATGCTGCCAACTGCAACATTTCCACAGTGACATTAATAAATCAACTCAACGGATGAGTCACCAGATGAGAACGGCACCCCCCTTTCCCCAGACTGCTGAGGGAAGGAGGTGCAACTAGGGCAAAGACAAGTAGCGGTGGTGTATCTGTCTGTGAGTTTGTGTGTGAGGAAATGGCACAGACTGACACTGACTGCAGCCAGAGGGAGTACATCAAAAAAGACTGATAGAGAGGGAGGCCTGCGGGTGAAAGGAAAAGCTCGGGGAACAGATGATCCCCCGAGTGCTCTTTTTTCAGGCCAAAACCTCTGGGGAAGAGGATGCTGGGGAAGGGCAGCGGGAATGTAATGATGCATTGAGAGTGGGGGGGTGGGGGTTGGGATATTGGAGCCGCATTGTCCAATCTCTATCGTAAAGCCACACCCCAGCAGGGGTCCCTGCCAGAGGAGGCAGCCTGGTATCCTGGGGCAAATAGAGGCAGAGGCGTCCAAACACTGCCTATTAATGGCGTGAAATGACAGTGAAATGAGTCACGGTGCAGATGGCTGTGGATGTAAGCTCTGACATTAGGGAACGGTGAGTGTGTACTACTGGATTTGTTAAAACTGCACTTTTGTGATGCACGGTTTAATAAGTGATATGTCAAGCAGTCATCCCGCCCCCGACGGGAGAGAGAAAGTGAAAGGTATTCTTGCTGTGCGGGTAAAGATACACAAGAGTTCTGGTTAAATATTGACAAAAAGGGACTTTCAAGTATCAACGGGGAGCTGGAATAAAATTTTGGCTCTGTTTGTTTAGCGGGGACAACAAACTCTGCTCTAAAGCTGAAACTGAATTACAAAAACACGCCAGAAAGACCCCGAAACAAAGTCTTAAATCCGCTGCTTCAGTTGAGTTTAAGACATGTCTTCTATAAAATCCTCTAGTACATAATGGTAAAAAATATAAGTTGAAATGTCTTTTGCCACAAAAACACAACCTACACTTTTGGAGCTTTATAATAAATACAGTTATAAAGTCATAGCATGATTACAGCCATTGAAAGCCTCTGTGTCTGTTTGAGCAGTGATATGTTCCCGTAGATTTATTGAGACATAAATTCAAATTGCTTTGTGGTGTATTTAAGGACACCACAAAGCAGCACAAAAACTTAAAACACTGTGAGTCAAGGCTAAAATCAGACCTTGCCTTTAGATTTAAAATAATTGTCTCATTTAATTTCCTCCATCTAACTTTGCTAAATAAGCCTTGAATTCATTTTAATGTTAATGTTCCTCAAACTGAAACTTTTGGTTCAGGTTTTCTCCTGAAATGCTCACAATTTTCATCTCAGCAATGCATGAAGCACAAATAAAAAGGTTACAATGATAAAGTCATTAAAAAAAATTTCAACAAGTACAAGACTGCACCATGTAGATCAAAGCAATGCACAGTACTTTACCAAGGTTCAACATAAATTTTACTCCTAACTAGAGCTGGGCGATAGAATGATAACGATATGTATTGCGAAATAACTTCTTCTCGATAGAAAAATTAAACTATTGCGATAGACCTCACCGCTCTTGTCCTCTGAGAACAGCCAATCCAAATTAAGTAGCGCAGAGCTGAACCAATCACAGCCGCAGTGTCGCGTCACGTGACTTGTTATGTACAGCACAAGTGCCAAGCCGCACATGTGTATTTGTTTGGGAAGCATCCAGCCGCCGTGCCGCCCGAGTAATGGAGGAAATGAGTGTGCCGACTAGAGAAAAATCAACCGAGCGTGACTGAAGGTTACCGAAGAGAAAACAGATGATGGTTCCAATGCCGGAGAGATTGTCGAACGGAAGAGCCATAGAAGTTCCGTAGTGTGAAGGTATTTCGGCTATTTCAAGTCTGACAAAAAACAGAGTAGCACTGTAAATTGTGCCGAAAGCAAGTCTGGAAATACAATAAAGCCGTGCATGCTCAATCGCTGACTGGAAGCGCCAATTCGTCATTCGGCTTTTGTCAGACTAAAGTAACTGTTAAAACTGTTTGAAAAGCTAAGCTATACAACAAGGAGAGATTGAGAATTTCCTTTTAGTTCTCAGTTTATTTGATATTGACAAAAGTTAGTCAGTTTTGTCTGTTCTTCTGTAAAACAAATAAATATTTATTTCTAGAATTAATATTTTGTTTCTAAGTGGAATTGACAATTTAGTCTGTTTCGTTTGTTCTATTTTGAAACTTAGACGCTTTAGCGGCTGCCTTTTGTGTAGTTTGCAATATTTGCCTTTATTTATCTGAAAAAGTCTCATGTTCCTTAAGTACATCTACCCTGTTGAACTTATTATGGGAAATAAATATTTAAATCAAAACAAGCTGCTGATTATTTCACATTTTACTTGTGAGCAACGGCACATTTAAATCTTACAAATATAGTTATTTGGCTTATAACGTGATATAGATCGTTATCGCCTGAAATGGGAAAAAAAACATATCGTGATATGAAAAAATCTTATATCGCCCAGCTCTACTCCTAACACAACTTTGTTTGACCGTTTGCAGTGCCAGTCAAAGGTTTGGACACTCTCAGTGATACTGGAGTATTTCTTAGCCTTTCATTACATTGACTTGCATTAAATAATCACAGCAACAACTACTGAGTTCTTCAGTGACTACAGCAAGTTTAGCTTTCTTCACCAGCTCAACTTGCAGTGGGTCAGTGAAGTGTAACATGAAACTGTGCCTTCTTCCATATCATCTG